TCCCATGGTATATCAGCAGACTCTGTGTTCAAGATCCTCATCACGACCGACAATCATGTCGGGTACGCCGAGGACGACCCTGTCCGTGGTGGTGACTCGTTCGAAGCCTTTGAGGAGGTGCTGAAGATTGCCGAGGCCGAGGCTGTGGACTTTATCCTTCTCGGAGGCGACCTGTTTGACAAGGCGCAGCCATCGCGGCATGCCATGTACGAGGTGATGCGGCTGCTGCGCAAGTACTGCATGGGCACAGGCGAGCCGGCGTTTTCGGTGGTGTCGGACATGGCAACCAACTTTCACTCGTCGTTCGGCAAGGCCAACATGGCCGACGCCAACCTCCGTGTCCGCATTCCGGTCTTCTCCATCCATGGCAATCACGATGATCCTGTTGGCGGCTCGAACCTTGCTGCGCTGGACATTCTCGCCATGGCCGGTCTGGTCAACTACTTTGGCAAGTCGCCGTCGGTGGAGGACATCACTGTCTCGCCGGTCCTCCTCCAAAAGGGCTCGTCCAAGCTCGCGCTGTACGGCTTGGGCAACATCCGCGACGAGCGACTCAATCGGGCGTTCTCCTCGCAGCGGGTCAAGTGCCTCCGCCCGCGCGAGGACGCCGACTCGTGGTTCAATCTCTTTGTCCTCCACCAGAACCGGGTCAACCACTCGCCCAAGAACTGCATCCACGAGGAGCAGCTCGACGACTTTATCGACCTTGTCTTTTGGGGTCACGAGCACGAAGCGCTCATCGAGCCGGTCAAGTCGGCTGTCCGCAACTTTTGCATCACGCAGCCGGGCTCGACCGTCGCTACCTCGCTCTGCGCGGCCGAGACCCGGCCCAAGGGCGTTGGCATTCTCCGCATCTGCGGCGACAAGTTCAACATCCAGCGTGTCAACCTTGCCTCTGTCCGGCCGTTTCTCATCGACGACTACGCGCTCCGCGCCGCGCCCGAGACGGTCAACATCAAGTCGGAGACCGCCGTCGCCGCACATCTGGCCGACATTGTCGAGGACATGCTCGTCCGGGTGGCCAAAGAGTTTCCGCCGCCGCCGTCGGGCGAGTCCAAGCTCCCGCTCCTCCGCCTTCGGGTCGACTCGACCGGCGGCGAAACGTGCAACCCGCGCCGGTTTGGGCAGGCTTTTGTCAATCGTGTAGCCAATCCGGGCGAGATCCTGCTCTTCCAGAAGCCGCGCCGCAACCCCCGGGCCCAGCACGTCACCAAAGCGCTTGACCCGGAGGCTGCCGCCGCCCAGCTGGAGAGCATGAAGTCGGACGCCAGCCGCAAGGAGTTCATCGACGGCCTCCGTGTTGAGAATCTGGTCAGCCAGGCCCTCGCAGACTCCAAGGCCTCGATGAACATTCTGCCCGAGGATAAGCTCCAAGAGGCTGTCAGCCAGTTTGTGACCAAGGAGGAGAAGACGGCCATCAAGAACTTTGTAGCCGAGACGCTCAAGAAGACCCAGTCCGAGCTCCGCTCCCGAAATGAGGCTCCCATCCTCGAGGAGGATGCCGCCCGGGCCCGCATCGAAGCGCTTGTTGCCGACCGCAACCGCAAGGCCACCGCCCGCCGCCGCCGTGCTGCTGCTGCTGCCGCCGCTGCCTCTCCTACTGCACCTCCATCCGAAGCTGAGAACGAGAACGAAGTCGACGAGGCGGAGGCAGAGGCGGGCAAGGACAAGGGCAAAGCACCAGAGTCTGAGAGCGGGAGTGGGAGCAGATCCGCTGCGCCGCCGTTGCCAGCTGCACGCAGTCGCAGCTCGGCCAGTCGCAAGTCGGTCAGCCGCAGCTCGCGGAGCAAGCACAAGTCCGAGTCCGAGTCCGGGTCGGAGAGCGACGTCAACGACGACGAGTCGTCGTTTTCGTGCTCGGGCGGGGCTAGCAGGCCGCGGCCGTCGAGCCGGTCGCTGCGGCGGGCGTCGCGGGCGCCGGCGTCGTCGCCCCCACCATCGCCATCAGCGTCACCGCCGACATCTCCGGTAGCGTCTGTGGCGACGGCGGCGCCGGCTCTTGCTGCGCCTGTTCCGCGCCGCAAGCGCCGCCGTGGCGGCGGCAGCAGTTCTACGGCGACGGCGACGGCGACGTCGTACGCGAGCAAGTACGGGCGGCGGGCGACGAAGAAACAGAAGAGGACTTAAAGGGCGCGCGAGGCGGCCGCACAGGCGTGGACTACTTTGAGTGGGCGCGGACCCAGACGGCAAACTCGTTCATGTCGATGATGCCGTCAGCGTTGGTGTCGACTTCAACAACCAGCTCCTTGATGTCGTGCTCGGAGAAGAGCGAGGAGATCGAGTTGAGGACGTCGGAGAACTCTGCGACCGAGATGGAGCCAGATGAGTCCTTGTCAAAGAGCTCAAAGAGGGCTGTGATGGACTCGTCGATGGACATGCTCTGCATGCGGTGGTAGCCCTCGATGAGGAGGCAGAACTCGTCAAAGTCGATGTCGCCCGAGCCGTCGACGTCGACAGCCTGGCCCATAAAGGTGACCAGCTCGTCGTCGGCGGCAAAGCCGAGCGAGCGCAGCAGGGCCGAGAGCTCGGTGAGCGAGATCTCGCCCGACGAGTCCGAGTCGAACGTCTCGAACATCTCCCGCATGAGCGCCAGGCGCTCGTCGTCAGGCGCCAGCAGCGGTGCGTCCTCGGACGCGCCGGCACTTGGGCGGGCGTTGACCGAGGCCGCCGCCGTCGGCAGCGGGCCGCCGGCCTCGGACTGCAGGTTGCGGAACTGAGTGCAAAAAGTGGCCATGTTGAGCAGCCGTAGAGCGGCGAGCGACTTGACGGTCTTCATGTGGCGCTCGACCTCGACCATCAGCTGCTTGTCCTTGAGCATCTCGACGTTGCAGACCTCGATGTGGCGGGTGATGATGGCCGGGAGGAGCTCGCCGACGACGGCCACCACTGGCACGGCGCCGACAACAAACAAACAGCCCTTCCAGACTCCACCAAGCTCAAGCGAGAGGATGACTCGCGAGATGTAAAAGCCAAAGATGGCTACGTAGAGCGCGACGACAAGGAGCGACATCTGGATGCAGCCAAAGACGAACCGCGGGCCACCGGCGCCGAACCAGAACAGCCGCTCATGACGGTTGGCGACGCCAAAGAGCCGCGGCAACCACGGCATGCATCCTGCGCGCGCTGGCGCTGCCAGATAGCCTGGTTGGAGGCGGGCCCGTCTGGGCCGCGGCGCGCCGTGCGGGCGGACAACCTCGGCCAGCGCGCCCGACTCGTCGCGGTCGAGGCCCAGCTCGGGGGCAAGCTCGTTCACGTCGGCATTGAGCACGTCGGGCGGGAGCAGGCTTGTCCGGATCCGCGCCAGCTTGAAGCGGATGATGAGCAGCGCGCCGCAGGCCAGGTAGCCCGCGCCGAGATAGGCGACAACCTTGAGCGGAGCCGAGAGCGCAAAGCCAAAGTAGATGGCGACAAAGATGAGCTCGAGAAAGGCCCAGGTGAGCCAATGGACATCGACGATCTCGCCGAGCTCCTCGCCGAGGCAAAGCGTGAGATAGCGGGCAAACTCAAAGTCGTCAGGCAAGTCGGGCGCGGCCTCCTCCCAGGGATGGACAAACATCTCGCGGAGGAGGAGGTACTCGAGCGCCTCGATCTTGCCGGTAGCCTGCAAGCCGGCGAGCGTCAGAGAGCATGTGAGCCGGGAGCGGCGGTCGCCTTTCGAGGTCGGGCCCAGGGCGCGGGTGACGACGGCTGCCTTGTCGGCGCAGTCAGCCTCGAGGCGAGCCCAGTTGGCCTGGACCTTCTTGCCGAGGACGACGAGGAGGACGACGAGGAGGAGGAAGATGCACATGACGAGGAAGAGGAGCATGTGGATGGCCTCGACGTCTTCAGCCACCGTCTCTGCATCGCCATACAGCTGGCAAGAGAGACCACGCAAGGCGCCCGACTTTGAGGCGAGGAACGAGATGAGGCCGATGAAGCCCATGATGGTCAGCTCCTTCCACATCGAGTCCATCAGCGGCTCCATGGGACCCTCTGCGAGTTCCTCGAGCTTGATCTTGAGCAGTTCAAAGGTAATGGTGAGAACCACAAGAACAGAGAGAACCACAAGAACAGTCCGTCGTTGCAGCGCAGCTCGCCGTCCGCTCTCCATCTCCTCGCCAGCCATCTCCTGTCGAGTTGAGCACCCGTCGTCTGCCGCCGCGCCGTAACCTCCGCACACCGCCGTCCATACCACCAACCACACTGCCGCCCACCCTGCTCGCCACACGTTGCTCTTCCGCATGAGTATGCTCTTCCGCGTCAAGCAGACTGAGAAAGTGCCGTGAAGTGAGTGAGCTGCCGCAACTTCCCGCCACTGCATGACCGGACAAGCACAAAAAGGGGGGGCAAGGAGGGGGAGGCTTTCGGCTTGCAGGCGACCTAAAAATATCTGGTCACCGGAAAAATTGTTTCGCCGACGCGGTTGGCTTCGGGCCAACCACACTGTTGTGAAGGTAGGGACAGGAGAGAGGGATGGAGTTGTAGCAACTGCAGCTGGGATAGCATTGGCTGTGGGGGTGAAGGGTAGAGATAGAGAGAGAGAGACAGAAAGGGGCTCAGCAGCGAGCACGACTAAATTTTTCTACATATTTTACACCCTGTCGAAAGGCACTCTGCCGAGGAAGGAATCGAGTCAGGAGTCAGGCTGTGTGAGTGCGGAGTAGGGCCGGCTGGCACTCGACTCGAGACAGGCAGGGACGAGTGAGAGGAGAAGGAGCGGCGGAGAGTGGACAGAGGGAATTTCCCACACAGTCGACATGTCGGAGAGAGCAGAACAGAGCGAGTGCGTCCAGGCTCTCCCCACGCCACCCCTCCTGCCACCGCACCAGATGGCTGCTGTCCTCGGCGCCTTATTCTGCCCCGTTCGCGCCCAGTGGCTATCCCGCACTCGGCGTCCAGGGACGTGGTGGGAGGTACGGGCGTGGATGGGGTGGCGATGGTGGCGGGGAGGACAAGGGGGGGAGGGGTCGGTGGTGGTGATGGTGGTGGTGGTGGTGGTGATCGGCCTGGTGGTGGTGGTGGTGATGGTGGTGGTGGTGGTGGTGATCGGCCTGATGGTGATGGTGGTGATCGGCCTGGTGGTGGTGGTGGTGATCGGCCTGGTGGTGGTGATCATGCTGGCGATGACACAAACAACGTTAAGCATGGAAGATACTTGTTGCCAGCGATTGTGGTGAATGGAGATGGCATCGGTCGAGCTACTGGTGCTGAGGCTGGGTCTGGGACAGGGGGTGGACCGGCACTGCTATCGCCACTGGCAGAGGCGAAGCGGAAGGCCTCGTCGGCTCCGCTGCGTCATCTGATTCTGGTGCGGAACGCAAGGGATCGCATGTTGACCCGGCGTGAGGCGCAGAAGCGTGGGCGCCACGGCCGCCGGCGACCGGCACGGGCAGCGATGCGGAAGCGGGCCAAGACTACAGGTTCGGCGTCAAGCGAGAAGAAGGCGGCCAAGAAGGCGGCGGCGTTGAAGGCCAAGCTGAGCAAGGCGCGGCTGCGGCTGAAAAAGTCGGAGCAGGCGCGGGAAGCAGCCAAGGCGCGAGTGGGCGGTCATGCGGTCGACGGAAGCGAGCAGGCGAGCCCGGCCGGCTTGGACGACGGCGGGATGCAACGTGTGGAGATGTGCAATTGGGTGGCGCGAGTGGCGTCATGGGCACTCGACTCGTCGCCCGAGGTCACGCCGACCGGCCTCATCACCTCGACCGCGCCGCTGCTGGTCTTCAAGATGCTCAACGACGAGATCTCACGAACGGTGGGCGTGTCGCTCACGCGGGTCTTCCGCGCCGCGTCGGGCGTCGGTGCTCTGGCGTCGCCGTCGTGGGCTTCGCTTGCTTCGCCCGCCGCTACCTCGCTCCTTCTCTCGCCACCGGCGCCGGGCTTCTCGCCCCTGGCAGCGTCGCGGGCAGCCAACGCGTCGGCTCCGCTCGGGCACGACCGCCGGTACCTCGACTCGGACGACGACGAGCCGTCATCGGCGCTGGCCAGCTCGTCATCGTTCGGCTCGCTGCCGACCCCGCCGCCGAGCTCAGCCTCGCCACCATCGCCCATGGGTGCGAGCTCTCTCGCGCGGTCCCGGGCGGCATCCTCTGCTGATATACGCACATCGTCGCAGTCGCCGCCGTCACGGCGGGGCGACCAGGGCACAGGAAGAAGTCCGACCGGCAGCTCGTCGCTGGTAGGCGGGCCTAAGTTCCCGGACGAGACGTCGACCAAGCGGAACTACGCGGTGGTGCGGGCGGCCGTGGAAGCGCTACTGCACTTGCAGACGCTGCCGTCGCCGCTGCGACCAAGCGTGCTGTATCCGAATGGCGAGAGCGTGGGGAGCGATGATGGCGACGAGGGCGACCACATCGACGCCCTCATTCTCGCGGTCAACGATGCGTCCGAGGCACTTGCGCTCAGCAGCCGACTGGCAGTTGTCATCGGGGCACTGTTTACCTCGCCGTACGTCAGCGCGCTCGAGGCGCAGGTCGAGGTTGTGCGGCGCGGGTTCTACGAGCTCGGACGCGAGGCGCTCGATGCGCTAGCAGCAATGGTTGCCGGCGATGTGGCCAGCTCGCTGCGGAGCCTGATCACGACGCGGTGGTATGCGGAGCACCCGGCTGCAGCAGACACCATCACCATGACGCTCGCCGACTACTACGCAGATTTGAAGCAGCTCATGGCGCCCGAGTTTTTTGCCAAGCTCGCGCGCCACCACCTGCGTCTGGTGCTCGACGCGTACCTGGACGCACTGCTGCGTGCGGCGAGGAGTCCGCAGCCGCTGGCGTGGCATGTCTCGGGCTCGATCCTGCTGGCGGTAGACCTCGCGCAGTTGGAGGAGATGTTTGTGGGCGTGCTGGAGCGGCCAACGGTGGAACGGCTCATGCTCCCGCTGTGGGAGCTCTGGGCGCTGCTCATCCTGCAGGACGAGGAGTTTGTGGTCTCACTGGCGGCAGCGGTGGTCGAGGCGAGCGAGCTGCGGCTCGAGGCAGGCGACGTCGAGCATCTCTTTGAGCTGCGGACCGACACCGCGGTGACGGCCAAGATGGTGTCGGCGGTGGCGCGAGCGGCGCACGATCCGCTCTCGGTTTCGAGCCCATTCTCGATGTCTCAGCGGCGTTCACTTGTCCGGGTCTGTCGGGTCAAGGTTCTTGAACGCGCCGACGTGGGTGCGATTCGGGCGAGCGTGGCCGAGGCGCTGACGGCGCGACAGACTGCACCGTCGCCAACGTCCGACTCGTCGCCGCCGTCGTTCTTCCTCGCCCGCTACGACTCGATGCTCATTCTCGACGCACCGACAGCGGCACAAGCGCAGGGCAGGCTGGGCGCTAGCCTCGATCGCGGACACGAGGCGTCGTCAGCTGAGTCGGATCTGCTCTCGGAGCCGACCGACGAGCAACTGACGCACCCGCGCAACTCGCAGCTCTCGTCGTCGCCGGACTCGCCGGGGCCAAAGCTGATGGGCGCGGTCGGCGCGGTGTGGCTCGGCTCGACCGAGTCGGAAACGGCGTCAGGAAGCGAGAGCGAGTCGAGCGTACAGATGGGTGTCTGCGGGCCGATGGACGAGTTTGTGGCCAGCGGTGGTGGTGGCGGCGGTGGCGGAGCGAGCGCGTCGTCGTCGGGGTGGTCGTTTAGCGACTCGGGCTCCGAGTCTGGCTCGGGAGCGGTTGGCGGCGTGGTAGTTCTGAGGATGGAGTGAAAGTCAACGAAGAGGATGGGTGTGTGTTAATGATGATGCCGGGCGAGGCACGGATGGAGGGAGGCGGGAGCGGAGATGAGCTACTCGTCGTCGTCGTCGTCGCCGCCGCCGCGGTTGCGCATGATCATGGAGGCGACAAAGGCCGTGCCGGAGATGGCAAAGAGCGAGTGGTAGCCGGTGTGAAGTGCGCGGACAAACCAGCCGCGGAACCAGGTGGTGAGGCCTTCCTGGGCCATGCGGGCGCGCATGACGGTCATGACGCTTTCGGACGACGAGGTGGCGCCCTGGATGACCGGGAGCAGGCGGTCGACAGGCATGGTGACCGAGACGGAGAGGACGCCGCCGAGGAATGTGATCATGCCGGACTCGGCATGGGTGAAGGGAGTGCCGTCCTCCTTGGCGAAGAACTTCTTGAGATAGAGGATGAGGGCAAAGCGCGAGCCCCAGTCGAGGGTCCGCTTGGCGACGCAGGCGGCCATGCCGGGCATGATGGCGCCGCGGATGAAGCCCTTGGCACGGACGTCCTCGTTCATGACGCGGAACGAGAACTTGATCTCCTCCATTGGGCCCATGGGCGGGCGCGAGACGAGGGCCTTGTTGACCCGGGTCCGGGCGAGGAGGAGCGGCGAGATGAAGACACCCTGGGTGGCACCGGCGAGCGCGCCGGCCACCAGCTCGCCCTGATCCTTGGAGAGGAACGAGACATTGTCAAAGACGTTGTTGTAGAAGGTCTTGGCAAAGAGCAGGACGGCGCCCTTGGTGACACCGAGGACAACGCCCCAGGGAAGGAGGCCGGCCTCAAAGCCGATGATCTTGTCGGCGATGTTGCCCTTGAGCAGCTGGCGGACGAGGACCGGGTACGGGTTGGACGTCCGCTGCTTCTCCATCTTGAGGTTCTCGAGGAACAGGCCACCGGTGACCATCTCGGCTGCGTGAGCGGGTTAATGGGTGATCATGATGGCGGACGATGATGGTCATCCCGATGGCGTGCGGGGCGATGATCGACAGAGAACGTTGGTCGTCGAACAATTACCACCATCCGCAGCGGGTGAGGCCGTGGCGGGGCATCCATGGGCGTAGCGGGAGAAAGGGGCCAGGGAATGGGATGAAAATAACATTAGCATGGAGATGAGTAAGTGATCATGACTAGTACCAAATATGGAAGCAAGTGGGCAGGTATTGCGTGTAGGGGAGGGCAAGAGGTGCAACGGCAAGGTGTGTGGTGGGCGGCAGGGTGGCTGCGGTTGGTGGCCGACGGACAGCAACGTACCGATGACCATTCCAGCGCCAATGGTGGCATTGAGCAGTGGCGAAGCACCGGCGACAGCAGCGGCATGAGCGACCGGACGGCGGTACGAATCAGAGCCCTGACTCGGAGCAGCAGTGCCCGCAAGGTTAGACATGGTCTGAGGAGGGCCCACACGCATCATCTCTTGCACAGTGCTCAGCATGATGCCTAAGGAGCGAGGCAGTGACGTGGACCGCTCTGAGTCTCTCTCTCCTCCTCCTCGCCGTTCGCCGCAAGGAGCATCGCTTGGCGCCATCAATATTAATGGTACCGCCATCGATTAATCTCAGTCGTCCTCGAACCAAATTTTTTGGTTTTCGCCGTCGTAGGTTGTCTTGGGCGGACATTCTCTGCCCGAGACCGGGCGTAGGGATGTGGAAGCCGGAATACAAGGGATCGATGGATGGGAGGCAGAAGAGAGGCAGTGCGAGAATGATTAGGTGTCTGGAACCATGAAGAGGGGGAGGATATGGTGTGTGGCGGGCGTAGAAGGACGGCGAGGGTCTGGCTCTGCACGAGCACGTGGTCTTGCCGGCAGCCTTGCGGGCGCTGCTCAGCACATCAGAATCTGGGCTGAGATTGTTGCCAGTTGCGGACGATAGTCAATTGTGATCACGACAACGATCACGATTATGGTCACCATCACGATTATGACCACGATCACGATTGTGGTCACCATCACGATTACGACAACGATCACGATTGTGGTCACCATCACGATTATGACCACGATCTCGATTATGACCACGATCACGATTATGACCGCGATCACGATTATGACCGCGATTATGACCACGATTGTCCTCGATTATGATCACGATTGTGGTCACGACAACGACCACGTTTGTAGTCACAATCACGATTACCACCGATTGCGACCACGATCACGATCACGATTACGACCACGATCACCTACCCCTCGCCCCCACCACGCCAGACGACCTCCGTCCGTCCCGTGAGCTGTACCCCCCCCCTCCCCCCCCCTCCCCCCCCCTCCCCACCACCAACCACGATGACGACCACCTGACTCCCCCCCCTCCTTGTGTCCCCCCCGTACCCCCCTGCCCCCCTGCACCCCACACATTGTACCGTGTGCGTGTGCTTGACTGTGTGTGCTTGACTGTGTGTGGCTGTGCGTGTGTGTGTGTGTGTGTGTGGGGCATGGCTTCCACAGGTCCTGCCGAAGGCATTGTGCCCCAGACACGGAGCATCACAGGTACGGACAAAGGAGAAGGGGGGAGGGGGGTAGGGAAGGGGGGGGGGGGGACTCACGGAGATGAGGATGTGTGGGACATGGATCAAACTGGACGGGCACTCTCTCGGTGGGACATGGATCAAACTGGACGGGCACTCTTTCGGTGGGACATGGATCAAACTGGACGGGCACTCTTTCGGTGGGACATGGATCAAACTGGACGGGCACTCTTTCGGTGGGACATGGATCAAACTGGACGGGCACTCTTTCGGTGGGACATGGATCAAACTGGACGGGCACTCTTTCGGTGGGACATGGATCAAACTGGACGGACACTCTCTCGGTGGGACATGGATCAAACTGGACGGGCACTCTTTCGGTGGGACATGGATCAAACTGGACGGGCACTCTTTCGGTGGGACATGGATCAAACTGGACGGGCACTCTCTCGGTGGGACATGGATCAAACTGGACGGGCACTCTCTCGGTGGGACATGGATCAAACTGGACGGGCACTCTCTCGGTGGGACATATCTCGGTGGAACATGGATTGGGGCGGATCTCAGACGACAAGGTGGTGATCAAGCTCAAGGCTGTCGGCTCAGCAAAGCTTCTCAAGCGCGACAAGTTCAAGGTCTCGGCGAGCAATGCATTCTCACACGTCGTCGCCTTTCTCCGCAAGCAGCTGCATCTCGCGCCGGCCGACGCTCTGTTTGTATACGTTGACAAGTTTGCGCCGCCGCCTGATGCCAACGTCGGCAAGCTGTTCCTCGCCTACGGTGACGTCAAGTACCTCGTCATCCACTACTGCAACAACCCCGCGTTTGGCTGATTCATTGAACGGATAGCACATGGTACTTGGGCAGCCGCACCTCGTCCGACGCCACATGCGACGGCGACAGGCCAAGGAGGCCCACGCGGAGCCACCTGTCAATGAGGCCCCCCATCGCCTCGTCCTCGCAGTAGTTGGCGCTGCCGCGCGCGTGATGCAGCCAGTGGTACCGCCCGTCCACGCCCCACGGCAGCCACCACGGCGCAACATCGGCCGGAATGTACAGCCCAGAGTGGTTGATCGCCGCCTGTACGTAGTTGGCCGCATACACCAACGTCACAGCCACCGGCGGAACAACTGGAAGAAATGCTAGCACGCCGATGCGAAAGACAAGTCCCTCTACCACCACCCGCTCCACCCAGTGGTCGTCGATCGTCGCCGCGCACCATTGCGTGAGCGGAAGATGGTGGGTCTTGTGGACCCAGACGTACATCTGCTTCCACGCGTGCATGCCCTCGTGCACCAGCGAGGCAAGCCCGTCATTCACCATTGCCACCACATACACCACCCCCACTACCACCGCCCATCCCACAGCTTCATCCAGCACGCTCAGCAACCCGACCACCTCAACCCCACCCGCCATCGCCGCCGCCGTCGCCGTCTGCCCGTCCCAGCATTCGTCCAGCGCGCACCCGGCCAGCCTTCCCACCACCACTGTGGCATTGCGCCCGAGGCCAGCCAGCGCACACGCTGCCGATCCATCCGGCGGAACCTTGGCAATGGTCTTCTCCATGGCCAGAGCCCAGAGCGCCGAGGCCGAGACCGCGCGCGTCATGGTCTCGCTCGCCAGAGCCCTCCAGGCGACCATCAGCGGAGCCTCCAGGAGCACCACATCGGCAACAACCGCCGGCAGTGGGCCGAGATACAGCGACCATCTGGGAGTTGTCGATGTCAACCGATACCGAGCCCATCGTCCGTCCATGTCCACTACCGCCAGCACCAGCACTGTCGCCAGGTACGCCAAACACGGTCCGCCCGAGACAGCTGCCACAAAAGACGCCGAGCTCAACACGCTCTCGCTCCCACACCCGGCGACCACACACACAGCCAGCACCACACCAACCACTACGTTCTCGAGCATTGTCAGTCAGTCAAGTCTAACCCTCTTTCTGTCGTCTTCTCAGCTTCCTCTCCCCGCCAGCGGCTTGCAAAGCCACCTCTCGCTGCCGAGCCTCTCATCGCTGATTCGACCCGGTCCATGGCCACTGCCCAATTTGGCAGCTCGCTCTCCCGAGACCACAAGCATGCCACGTGCATCCGGACCTCTTCTCCCCACTCCCCTCCCTTACACCAATGGCCTCCACCGATGATGACTCTGCGGGCTGATACTCGTCGTGGTCCTGCCCGCAGTGCCATCGATCACCCTTATGCCCGCCCCGCCCCGTCTCCTCTCACCTCACCCTGCCATGAGAACCGCATTGGTAGCACATCGCGGCGGCTGGCACGGCGACCCGTGTGCACATGGGCGCCCATCGCAAACTCGCGCACACCCGAGATCAAGGTCGTCGACGTCGCGCACCGTTATCACGAGGGTGTGGATAGGTGGCTTCCTGCCCCTCTCGAGCCTGCCGTGTCAACGCCATCGGACGACCTCCTCCAGCCCTTGATCACACCTCTCTCTCCCGCTCTCCCGCTCTCCCGCTCTGCCACCATGGATCGCCTCCCGGCCGAGCTCATCCATCGCATCGCCTACGCGAGCTCGGATGCCAAGACTGTTGTCGCCCTCGCTACCACCTGCCGCTCCTTTCACGCCATTCTCCTTGGCTCGCCGTATCTCCGTAACAAAGCCGCTGCGCTCATGGGCGCGTGTAGATGCGGGCGACTGGGGCTCTATTCCGCCGCCGCCCGCGCCCTCCGTCACATCGATGGTTCGCCCGACTCGGCGGCAACGCTCATCGCCGAGTGCATCTCGGAGCGAGGCCCCATCGATCCGGGCTGGCTCGACCTTGTCGCCGCCGCCGCCGACCTCTTTGCCTCTGGCCCTGCCGTCTCGGAGCGGAGCTTCTCGTTCCTTGTCCTGGAGATGATGAGCTGGGGCATCGAGTCCGAGGTGAGCACCATCGTTACGGCCATGACGCCGCATCTTGTTCCCCAGACCGCCTACAACCTTCTCCTCACCGCCGCCAGCCTGGGCTCTCCCAGCGGCATCTATGCTACGCTTCCTCTGGCTGCTCTCCCGGCCGCCGGCGACGATGCGGGCGACGAGCGGATGCTGGTCTCGCGTAAGCAACTCGAGATGGCGCTACGGGTGGCGGCGGAGGGCTCGTCGGAGGAGGTTGCGCTGGTCTTGCTGGATGCTTGCCTTCTCACGCTCTCACCCGCAGAGTGTACGCGGGTGCTGGCGGCGGCGGCTGGGTCGGACATGTCGGAGGTCGTCGCCATTCTGCTAGAGGACGGGAGGGCGGACCCGACGTACATCGACAGCGCACCACTGCAGGTGGCGGCCGAACGCGGCTTTGTCGAGATTGTGGATTTGTTTCTGGCAGACTGTCGGGCTGACCCGGCGGCGGACGAGTCGGCGTCGCTGCGGTGGGCGACGCGGCGTGGGCACGTTGCTGTTGTCGCCGCCCTCATTGCCGACGGTCGGGTAGACGTCGGCGCGCGCAACGGAGAGGCGCTTGCGTCTGCGATTGAGCTCGGTAACACAGAGCTCATCGATCTCCTCACCTGAGCTGCAATCTGCATTTACTCGGCATGGGCCTGGACGGTGGCGACCCGGAAGGCGTCGCCAGAGAGGGCGACGTACATGCGCTGGCCGAGGGCGAGGCCGCCCTCCCACGGCAGGGCCTTGCGCTGGCGGATGATAAACTCGCGGGTGGCGGCGACAGCCTTGGCGCCGTTGTCCTCAAACACGGCGAGGACCGGGTCTCGGAGCGCGGTTGGCACGAGTCCGACCTCAGCAACGAGGACGTCGTCGAGGAGTGCCGCCATACCATCGGCGTCGCCCATCTTGTACAGCAGTGACGCCGCGAGCGCCACGTCGGCCTCGAGCTGGGAAAACGCAGCGAGAAAAGCGAGCGCCTGGGCCTCGAGCACGGCGCCTTGCGCATTGAGCTCAGCGGCGCGGGCCATGAGGCCCGGTCGCATGCTGCGCGACCCGCCGCTGTTCGCGGTGTAAGCGGCGCGGGCTTCAAAGGCCTGCGCGTTGACCGCATCGAGCTTGCGGAAGAGCTTGCGGCACTTTTTGACAACCGCCGCAAAGGTGGTGGCCGCGGCGCTGACGTACGACAGCTGCGCGAGGCGGGCATCGGCAAAGAGGGCCTCGGCGGCGCGGGCCCAGAGGCACGGCAGGAGGAGCTGGACGAGGAGCGCCGGCGAGAGATGCTCCAGAAAAGCCAGCGCGTGCTCGGCCTGCTTCTCGCAGTCAAAGAGCGGCTCTTGCTCCCACATTGGTGCCGGCTGCGCCTTGTCCCACAGCCGCAGCCAGAGGTTGTCGCCGGCGTCACCGGCAAAGCGGACCGAGAGCGAACGGCTCTCCTCGTCAAAGTCGCGCGGCGAGTGCCATCGGACAAAGTCCTCCACCACTGCACCCGGGTTTGCCGCCTTGAAGCCACACATGTCTGCATACAGTGACGCTGACTGCATCTCGGCCCGCTGATCAGCAGCCTTGGGCGAAGTTCCGAGCTGGAACAGCAGCTCCTCGAGCTCCTCCATCAGGTCCTCGGTCATAAAGTTGTGCACCGGTGCGAGCGGGACGTAGATGGCGGCATCGCCCGAGCCCGGCGCCGCGTGCAGCAACTCGCGCCGCGGCTCCATCGGCCACAGCGCGCCACGGCGAACAGCCGGCATGGGTGTGTCGGACGCGTCAAAGAACCCATCGCCGTCCGAGTCGGCACTGTCCCTGGCCCCGGCGTCAAGCGCGGCTGCAGAGGCGTTACCCTCAACAGAATACTCGACCGGGACCTCGTACTCGATGCCAGCAGTGTCGGCAAGGTGTGCGTAGAACTTGCGGGTGAGGATGGCAATGGCAACCATCTCAGTCTTCTGGGCGAGGACCGAGGCGCGGGTCTCGATGTGGAGGTTGGGCGGAAAGAGCGAGACCTGGACGTGGCCGCGGGCGGCGGCGGCGGCAGCTTGCGGAGTGGAGAACACGTCGTGGCGACAGAATGAGGGGAGGGCCGGGAGCCGCGGCATGCCCGGCAGCGGCTCGTCGGCCTCCCACGCGCGGCGAAGCTCGGCGGCAAACGCCTCCCAGACCATGGCCACACCCTTAACGCCGTAGTCGAGGACCGCGCCGGCAAGGTCGGCGACGAGCGAGCCGCGCGGGGCAGCCTTGAACGTCCCGGTGCCACACAGCGCCTCCAGAGGCGGCGGCAGTGGCGGGTCTGGCGACTGAGGCGCAACATTGGGCCGGTGCTGGAAAAGAGTCCGCATCAGCGAGCCGAGCTCGATCTGCGACGGGACGGTCGAAGGTGAGACGAGCTGCGAGGAGGAGGCACCGGCCATGGCAACAATGCGGTTGATGAGCGGTTTGGGCGTCCGGCGTGCGGCGGCAATAGCTGGCGGCGGCGGCGGCAGCAGCTCGGCAAGGGTGAGCACGGTCTGCGCGTCACGGAACGTGAGGAGCGCACCGTGGAGCGCGGCGGTCAGCCCACCGTCACTCTCGCGCGCTCGCTCCAGACGCAGCGTCCACATCGGCGCCGCGCGCGGCTGGAGGTCCGAGTACCTCTCCGAGTCGACAAAGGTGTCGTGCGGAAACTGCGGCCAGGTGGTGAAGAGGTAGACGCCGAGGAGCGGGTCGGTGCCCGGCCCCCATAGCTGGAGCGAGGGCGCACCGTCGCCCCAGCCGCAGCGCCCAGGCACCGCAGCGCCGGGAGCGACCGCACGCTTGGCCCGCCACGCCACCCACTCTGGGCCACGCACAAACGTGTACTGGATCGAGACAAGCGGGGCCGAGGCGTCGTCGCCGGCGGCACCCGGCGGGCGCGGCGGACGCGGGACGTTGGGCGGGAGGTGGCGCTGGGCAAAGAGCGCACCAAAAGCAGCGAGCAGGCCATCGAGATGCTGCGCAGCCGGCGGGACGGTGGCCACCGCCGACGACTCCATGCGGAGGACGGCCGAGCCGTGGGCCATGTATCCAATGTACGCAGACTTGGCCGAGCCGTCGACGGGCACAAAGTGCGGGAGGGTACACGCAGCGTAGTCCATGGCGACTGTGAGCGCCGAGAGGAGCTCAGCAGCAAAGGCATAGTCCTTGACGGCATCATCGGGCTCGAGGACGGCAAAGTCCTTGGTCCCAAACCACCGCGTAATGTCCGGCACGCGGTATGCAAAGTCGTCGCTCGGGTCCATGTACCCAATCATGGCCCGCGGAAAGTGCTCGGCCTCGGGCGGCGGGACCGGGAGCGAGCCCGGCGGTGAGCCAAAGACCACCGAGAGCGTCAGCATCTTGCCCTTGTACTCAACCGCGCCCGACGCCGTCGTGAGCGCGTCCGAGAGCTCCGAGAAGCCAAAGAGGCCCCACTCGCGGAGCAGCGCCTCGAGCTTGGCCACCAGCTTTTCAAACGGCGAGACGGTGGTAAAGTCGACGATCTCAAACGGCTCGTCGCCCACATCGCCAGAAGCAGCCATGGGGGATGCGGCACCACCGCTGTCGTCCGCGCTGTCGGCAGTCTGCGGGTGATTGGCAAGCAACTGTGACGTCGATGCCTTGTCATCATTTCCTTCATCTTTGATGGCAACAACCATCCTTTCATTCTCCTCGCTCAAGACGTCGATCATGTCGTCCGTGCCCGTCTCCACCTCCAGCGACTGTCGCATTCCTTGTGTCGCCAAAGAACCCATGGCCAGGTCGTCACCACCGCCCAGGTCGTCGGCAGCCGCCACCGCATCCGCAGGCGCAGACATGTATGTATGGATATCTGTGCGTATGTATGTATGTGTGTGTGTGTGTGTGTGTGTGTGTGTGTGCGTGTGTGTGTATGTGGTGGAGGAGGGAGAGGTGGTGGTGGCGGTGTTGGTATGTGTGCGTGTGTGTCGTCGTCGTGGTCGTCGTGGCCGTGCCGCGATTGACACACGTTGCGACGTTTGCGGAGCGTCCCAGAGCGAGCGTGGCTTGCGCGATGGACGTATTTGTCCATTCCGCACCGCAAAGGGATACGGGATTCACTGTGTTGGGCAGTGCCTGGCTCGGCTCGGCATCATGTACGGCATTATGTACGGCATCAATGACGGCATCAACGATGGTGTAAACGACGGGGGCAACGACGGCATTCTCCTACGGCATCAGCTATATCATCAGCTACGGCAGCATCAAAAGCGTCATCTACGACATCAGCTATATCATCAGCTACGGCAGCATCAAAAGCGTCATCTACGACATCAGCTATATCATCAGCTACGGCAGCATCAAAAGCGTCATCTACGACATCAGCTATATCATCAGCTACGGCAGCATCAAAAGCGTCATCTACGACATCAGCTATATCATCAGCTACGGCAGCATCAAAAGCGTCATCTACGACATCAGCTATATCATCAGCTACGGCAGCATCAAAAGCGTCATCTACGACATCAGCTATATCATCAGCTACGGCAGCATCAAAAGCGTCATCTACGACATCAGCTATATCATCAGCTACGGCAGCATCAATGACGGCATCAACGATGGTGTAAACGACGGGGGCAACGACGGCATTCTCCTACGGCATCAGCTATATCATCAGCTACGGCAGCATCAAAAGCGTCATCTACGACATCAGCTATATCATCAGCTACGGCAGCATCAAAAGCGTCATCTACGACATCATCTACGGCTCGCCGTTTTACTCGGATCACCAGTACTTGGAGAGCGAGTGGCCGAGAACAGCCTCGATCATCTTGACCAGCTCTGCAGTCTTGCGTTCGACATCGGAATCGTCGTCCTCGGTAAGTTCGGCGAGGAAGGGGACGGTTTCCGGGAGGAGGATGAGGTAGTCGGACTCGAGGAGGGCGTAGAGGCGGATGAGGACCTCGACGACGACGAGGCGGATGGCTGGGTTGGGCGAGCGGGTCTGCATGAGCAGCTCAAAGTTGAACGGCTTCCACCAGGCGTCGTTGGAGACGCAAACCATGAGCTCGCCGACGGCGTCGACAAAGAGGCGGTGAACGTCGCCGCGCTCGGACGCGACGCGCGGGACGAGGGCGACGAGCAGCGGGTAGAGCTCGTTGTACCGCTCGCGGTTCATCATGCCATCAGCGTCGTAGCGGAAGACCCGCTTGAGGAGGCGGAGGGCGAGCTCGAGCTCGCGGGCCGACGACGTGTCACCGCTACTGTGGACGACGGCCTTGGCCTTGGCTGCCGTCTTGCGGCGCTTTTTGCCGCGACTCGCCTCGTCGGCGTCGGCGTCGGCGTCGTTGCCGCGCTTGAGCACCTCGACGACGACAGCCATGAACGACGGGACGTAGGGGACAAAGATCGACTTGAGCGCACCGGCGAGGGCGGCGAGGAACGAGAGGAAGGTCTCGGTCCGGGCGCCGCGCTCGGCCCAAGTGCAGAGCTTGACAAAGAGCGGCTTGAAGGTCTTCTCGTTGAGGCGGAGGACGAGCCGAACGAGCGTGGCGAGGAGGCCTTCCCGGGTGTCGTCGGCGAGCGCGGGCGCGTCCGAGGCGTCGAGGACAAAGTCAAAGACGTCGGGAGCAACCTCGAAGACCCGCTTCTTGGGCATGTGCTCGAGGGCAACGCCGAGGACCTCGAGGATGGCGACGGCGGCGGCCGGCGAGTCGGCGCGGGCAAAGGCGGCAAAGAGGGCTGGAATGAGCTGGCGCGGTGGGACCTGCTTGCCAAACACCCGCAGGACGCGGACGCCCTTGGAGCTGCCAAGATGGTAGTCCGAGGTGAGCGCGGTGAGCAGCGGGATGAGGTACGGGTTGAGGAAGGCATGCAGCTGGGCCACAACCATCTCCACGGCGGTGAGGAGCGCCTCCTGGAAGTGCTTGGCCATGGCCGGCTCGGCGACGGCGTCCGGGCCAGCCTGCAGAGCGGCGACGAGCCACGGGAGGAGAACCGGGACCTGGGCGAGGACCTTGACGCCGAGGGTGGCGGTGAGCGAGGCGACGCAGAGGAGGGCCGACATGTGAACTCCGCCCGAGCTGCCGGCCTCGCCGGTCAGCTGGCCGACCACCAGCGGGAGGACCTCGCCAAAGGCCTCGCGCGAGACGTGGCCAAAGGCGCGAGTGACGATCGAGAGCGAGAAGAGCGCGTTCTGGACCGCCGACTCGGACGTCGACTGCGAGATTAGCTCGCCGAGCTGTGGGACGGTGGCCACAAAGCTCGCCTGCTCGTCCGAGGTAAACTCGCCCTTCTCGCGCTCGATCTTGGCGTTGAAGAGCTCGAGTGCAGACTGCTGGATGAGCACGTCGTCCGAGGCAAAGAGCGCCGAGGTGACCTCAAGGAACTGCTCGACCGAGAGCAGCGAGTTGAGCTGGTCGAGCACGTTGACTGCCCGGCCGTAGAGCTCGCTCCAGGTGACAGCGAGCGCCTTGTCGCCGGCCTTGGTCCCGCTCCGGGCCTGGTGAACAAGCTCGAGACCACGGCCAAAGAGCGAGCGATAGAGCGCCTGCAGTGCAGCCTCGAGCTCGTCGCGCGAGAGATCGCGGGCCTCGGCCGAGTCGACGACGTCGACCAGGGCCTCGAGGAACTCGTCGAGCGCCACAAACTCGCCCACAAACCGGGTCATGCCGAGCTTGAGCGCCAGGCCATCGTCAAAGCTGTGCTTGGTGTAGTCGAATGCGGCCGAGCCGCCACCGACCATAGCAACCTCGCCACGGTGGAGAGCGGCAGCGTCGTCGTCGGCCTCGGCCTCGGCCGCCATCCGGGCCGAGTTGTACTCGGCCTTGGTGGAGGGAAGCGCGTGGACAACGTCGAGAACTTGTGCGAGCGAGTTGAGAGCAGTGAGCGGGTGGAACTCGAGGAGCAGCGCCGATGTCATGTCCCAAAACGCGCCGGCCTCGTCGCCCGAGCCCGACGTGGCTTTGAGCACAAAGTAGAGGGCGAGGAAGGTGAGCGCCGAGCCGCCGATGGTCTCGACGAGGACGCGGTAGAGGAACCGCTGGCGGTGCTGCGGAATGTAGCCAAAAGCATCGCCAAAGATGACTAGGATACCCGAGGCGTCCAGGCCGACTTCGAGGAGCGGCGGGAGCACCTGGCGGAGCGTGGCCTCGATGACCGAGTAGGTGTACGCGTCGTCGCGCTTGACCGCTGACGAGCCCATAAAGGCAAATACCGGCATGATGGTGTGGAGGACCCGCTCCGGCACAATGCGGGCGAGCTTGGCCAGGAGCTGCAGCGCATGAGTGTGAGTCGCTGGCGACGAGCTCTGCGATCGGAGGACGGCAACAACGATCTGGATGTCAAAGTATTGTGCGAGCGCCGACAGAGCCGCCTCGTCGCCGACCACCTCATCCTGCTCCAGCGAGAGCCGGAGCGCGCGGAGGAGGAGCTGCTTGGTGTACTCGCCGTCGAACGAGGCACCCGAGCTCGCGCTGCTCGCTGAGCTGGACGAGAGTAGCGACGAGAGGTGGTGGAAGAGGACCGGAACAAGGTGCGAGAAGCCGCTCACACCGCGGATTTCAAAGATCCACTCGAGGACCTTGGCGAGGGTGACAACCCGCCACGAGCCGGCCGGCTGACTCAGCTGGGCCTCGGCGTGACCAGGCTCGGCGTCAGCGGAGCGGCGCGAGCGCTTGCGCGCCGAGCTCTCGGCGGCGTCATCATCGCCGTCGAGAGTGTCGAGAGCGGTCGAAGCGTCAGCAGCCGAGCGCTCGGCGGCCCGCATGAGCGCCTCGAGGAGCGGCGCGGAGAGGACGAGCGAGTGGAGGAGGGCGAGGATGGCGCGCGGGACGACAATGTGCGCGTCGGCTGCGTCGAGTTGGCCGGCCTTGGCGCGCGAGTTGGCGATGATGAGGGCGTGAACAACGGCGACGCGCTGAGAGTCAGAGGGCAGCTCGTCAAGGACCTGCTGTGAGAGTACGTTGACGGCAGCGGCGACAACAGCGGCCGACGACGCGGCCGAGAAGAGAGTGACAAACGGCTCCGGGTCCGAGCCGAGAAGCTGTGGGACGCCGGGCGCGCCGAGCATGTCAAGCGACTCGACGAGGAGGAGCTCCGACGACGCGTCCCACTCGGTGTTCTGCGAGGCCTTGCCCGCAAGCTGGCCGAGGAGCTTGGAGCCACCCGAGGCATAGACGAGCGACGAGCGCGAGGCGATCATGATCCGGACCAGAACAGCCTGCGCGACAGGGTGGGCGACAGCCGGCTGAGAGCCGAGCATGGCCGAGAAGAGAGTGGTGATCCAAGCCTTGAGGCGAGCCTCGGCGGTCTTGCGGCCCTTCTTGCCGGCCGACTTGGCGACGGTGTTGGCGGCGGCGTCGGCAAAGATTCGCCCGAGGACGCCGCCGTCGGCGGCAATCTCGCCGGAGCGGGCAATGACCGCGTCGGCGAGGGCGGCGATGGGGGCAAGCGCCTTGGCTTGCTTGGCGGTGACTGCGGCACCCGCCGGCGGCTTTGCAATGGCAGCGGCGACTGCGGCAAAGGCCGAGACAGCGAGGCTGCGGACCGGGGCAAAAGCTGAGGCGGCGGCAATGAGGAGATGCGCGACAAGGCCAGAGAGGAGCGACGGCGACTTGGGCGAGAACTTGGCCGAGACCAGACCAGCCGCGGCGGCCGGTGCCTGGAGAAGGGCGAGGACGTGGTTGACAGCGCGGATGTGGACGAGCTGGAGTGACGAGCGCGAGGCACGCGGGTCGATGCCGACAAGACTTGGTAGCTGAAGCGGCGCGTGGAGGAACGGAAGCGCATCAGCGAGAGCGCCGGAGGGCGCGGCGCGAGTGAGGAGGACGGCGACAAGAACGAGGTGGAGACGCGGAGGGAGGGTGGCGCAGACCACGACAAAGATTGGCGCGAGCGACGGGCCGTCGGCCACTTCGGCGACAGCGCGGAGGACCGAGGCGGCGAGAAGAGCGCGGGCCTTGCGCCAGCCGGAGCGGTGGGAGGCAAGAGCAGTACGGACGAGGGCACCGAGGCGGCCAGTGGCCGAGCCGCGGGGCAGATCGTCTTCGGTCAGAGCATCAAGCGAGGCAAGCGCGAGGTTCGGGGTGACGGTCTCGCGGACGAGCGCGAGGACCTGCGGGAGGAGGGTGGTGGCAAGATGCGGGCGCGGGAGCGCTGCAGCCTCGGCGGGCGAGTCGGCGCTGAGGAGGGCGAGGCGGGTCCGCTCGAGGGTGACAATCGAGGCGGCAAGGAGAAGCGGGAGGGCCGACCAGGCTAGCGGCGAGGCAACGCCCGATGCCGCAGACGAGAGAGTAGCCGCGAGGCGCGGCGAGTCGGCGAGGCCGGACGCGAGACCAGCGAGGAGCACAGCGTAGACATCGTCGAGAGCGGCCGAGTCCGCCACCTTGGGCGGGGACTTGGCAGCCTTGCGGAGCGAGGCATGCGTGGTGAGGCCGGCAAACTCGGGGAGAGCGCCAGCATCGGCGAGAGCCATGGCGGCGGCAAGAGCAGCAGAAAACGAGGCCGGCGACTTGGTGGTGGCGGCGAGATGGGCGGCGACGAGCTGGAAAGCAACAAGCAGCGTGCCCTGCGACTCGTCCTCGGACTCGAGCTCAACAAGGGCATCGGGCGCGAGGCGCGAGGCCGAGTCGGCGAGGGCGGCAAGGGCGGCAACAACGACAGACCGGGTGTCGGCCGACGACCAGGCCGATGGCGGCGAGGCCAGAAGGGCGGCGATGGTTGCGACGAGCTCGGTGATGGGGACGAGGGCGGTGATCGGGGCGGCGGCGAGGGCGGCTGCGACGATGGACGGCTCCGGATCGGCGAGCGCGGAGCGGAGGGTGTCCTGCACAAAGGCGCGCTCCTTGGCGTCGGGTGAGTCGTCATCGGCGGCAAGGAGGTCGGCGAGGCGGTCGTCGGTGGTGAGGAGGTCAGCGAGCTGGACAAGGGCGTCGACGCGGAGCGAAGTCGAGCCGGAGTTGAGCGCGTAGTACAACGAGCCGGAGCCAACCTGGGAGACGCGGAGCGAGGACGGCATGGCAAGGTCGAGCCAGGCGGAGAGCGTCTGCGGAGCGGCGGCATCCGAGGAGCGGGCGCGGGCCATGGCGGCGTCGAGGGCAAGCTCAAAGGCGGAGCCGAAGCGGAGTGAGAAGAGCGAGATGACGGCGGTGAGGTCGGTGGCAAGCTTTGGCGCGACGGCTGACGGCGGCGCGGCGGCGAGGGCGTCAAAGAGCGGGTCGAGAAGCGAGGTGGTGGCCGCCGACGAGAGGGCCGGAAAGAGCGATGCGACGTCGGAGAGGAGCGGGGTGATTTGCGAGGCCAAGTCGGCGGCGTCGGGCATGGCGTTGGTGAGGGCGGCGGCGTAGACGTCGACGCACGAGGCGAGGAGCGGGAAGGCGAGGGCTGTGGCCAGCTCAAGCGAGCCGCCCGACGCCGAGGCGATGGCCACGAGGTGGGTGGCGACAGAGCCTGCGCCGATGGCGCGGTCGGCGTGGAGGAGGGCGCGGGTAGCGTCGAGAGGAAGGCGGCGGACGCCCTGAGTCCCACACACCACAGCCAGGGTGTGCATGGCGTAGCGGGCGTGGGCCGAGGGCACCGCGGCAGCGAGGAGGGTGAGGAACGGCTCGAGGACGGTGAGAGCCAGCGTGGTTCGGGCCGAGATCTGGGCGAGGAGCATAAAGGCCGCGAGCTGCAGGTCCGGGACGGCCGAGGTGGCGGCGGTGACGACCGAGGGGAGGAGGACGCCGAGCTTGCGCTCCGAGAGGCGCTGCGACGAACCCGCAATGCCGGAGAGGAGCGAGAGGAAGAATGAGGCACCGATGGACCAATCGGGAACGAAAGAGAGGACGTGGGTGACGGCCGAGGCAATCCAGTTGAGGGTGGCGAGGTCCTTGACCAGCCACTTGAGCAGGTTAGCGCGCTGCAGCGGGACGCCGCTCCGCTTGACGCCAACAAGCCAGGCAAAGTCGAGCGAGGCGTGATGAAGACGCAGCGGCGAGGCGGCCGAGGTCAGGTTGCCGGCCGAGCCCGATGAGCCACCCAGATTGAGGACCATGACGAGGCGGGCAAAGAGCGGAGTGGCGTGATAGGGGAGATAGGCACCGACGAGGGCGGCGACGTTGTGGGTATGGATAGAGTAGCGACGGATGAGGAACTCGAGGACTTTTCCGGTTGATTTGAGGAGAAAGTACGGCGCGGTGAGAGCGATAAACTCCTCGAGATGACCATCGAGTTCATCGGCTTGTTCCTGCGTCAGCAGCGAGCGACGAAGCGGGGTCAGCTCTCGGGGAAAGAGCACGGCTTCAAACTTTGCCAGACGAGGTTCAATGCGAACAAGTGCCGCGAGACCATTGGTGGCCAGAAAATGAAGCGAGGCGAGGTCCACATCAGCCGCCTGCCGCATGGTGAAGAGGAACGAGGTGTACACCGGCACGCCCGACTTGCCCTCCCGCGAGTGGAGGTCACGCGGCCGGAGCGCCTTGAGCTGCTTGGCGAGATTGGACGACATGATGTTGGGTGGAGAGGTTCCCGGTGGTGGTGGGGTGGTTGGGCGGTGGTGGTGGTAGGAGGTGGAGGAGGGAGAGTGAGGTAGTGGTGGGGGAGGGTGTGGGTGGTGCGTTGATGGCGGATGCGGTGATGGATGGAGAGAAAGGGGTCGGTGTGGGGGGTGGGGGTGAAGGTGTAAAATTTGTAGATGGTGGTGGTAGCCAGACGGTGCAGAACATGGTAGCAGACTCAATGCTTCCGCTGGATGTGGTGGGCGGAGGTCGGCACGGTGTGACGGTGGTATCAGACGGGGCGATGTAGTTGATCTCGGTGGCGGTGGGGACGTGAGCTACGGGACCGGCTTCTCGTTTACCGACGCAGCCGGAGACCGGCCAGCTCACATGGCGTTGCCGGCGCCGTCGCGGCCGGCCTTGGAGGTTACCATGACGCGGATGGCGCCTTCTGCGACGAGGGCGATGGCAGCCGAGTTGTGGCCACCGGCGTAGTGGGAAGAGGAGAAGATGGTGATGACCTGGGCAGACTTGGCGTAGGAGACGCCAAGGCTCGGGGCTTGGTGGGCGCGGATGATGTGCGAGCAGCCCGAGGTGGCGAGGAAGGCGGCGACGGCGTCGTGACCAAAGACGGCGGTGCCGCCACCGCGATCGCTGGGCGCAAAGCCGTGCGGAAAGCCCGGGGCGGGCGCAGCGGCGAGCTCGGTCTCATCTTCGGCCGGGTCGGACCAGAGGAGGTCCATTGCGGCAACAAGGCCCGCAGCGGGCGCGTCGGCCGGAGAGTCGGCTGTCAGTTCGGCGGCGACGGTGTCGTCCATGATGGAGGCGATGGCATCGGCGGAGAGCGGGCGCGGGAGGGCGGCGATGGCAGCGAGCGGGTCGTCACCGCAGGTCCGCGGAATGCCGCCGTGGACAGCAAAGATGCGCGAGTTGATGACAGCGGCGAGCGGCATGGTCTCGCATACCGAGTTGAGCTCGGTCCAGAGAGCCTCGCCGCGCGACTCGGAGCCGAGAAGCTCGTGGCACTGGGCACGGAACGATCCGTCTTCGTAGACTTCGATGTCACCGTTGATGTCAGCGAGCTCGTGGTTGCCACGGAGGGCCACCACGTGCTGCGGATACGCGGTGGCGAGGGCGAGGACAAAGGCAAGGGTCTCGACCGAGTGCGGGCCGCGGTCAACGTAGTCGCCGAGAAACAGGATCTTGGCCGGGCACATGGGGACGCCGGCGCCCCAAAAGGTTCGTGCGAAAAAGGCAAGGTCCGAGTAGTTGCCGTGCAAGTCGCCGAGGACGTAGACCGGGTCCGGGAGCGAGACGAGCGACGGATGGGTGAGCATGGTGGCGCGCGCGCCGGGGACGAGACGGCGGAGCATGAGGATAAAGGCCTCGCGTTCGCCGTCGGAGCGCCAGCCGTGCGACGGCTCGTCCCAGGCACCGCCGGTGCCACCGCCGTCGGCAAGCGGGAGAAAGGCGTCACCGAGGAGCGAGAGCACAGCCTCAGCCACCTCCTTGGCTGCGCTCAGCGCGTCGGGCTGGGCGCCGAGCGCCGATGAGGCAAACACTTCTTGTGTTGAGTGGGTAAAGTTGCGCGTGGGGAGGGTCCGGCGCTCACGGACCATGCCCGATGCCTCGAGCACATGGTAAGTTGGCGAGACCGAGTACTCGGCGGACGGGGCCGGGGCCGACTCAGCAGGCTCAGCAGGCTCGGACGCGGGCGGTGCAGGCTGCAGCGCCGGCAACGGCGACGACGCCATGAGCGCGTAGATGGCAAGCGTGTAGACGGTGAGGCCGGCGGTAGCGCCAAGCGCCATGGTGGGAGGATCAAGAGCATCGGTGACGTGACAGATGGCCAGCCAGGCGCCGAGCGCGCCGGCCACCGTCAGTGAGACCGTCAGCGGCAGCAAGGCTTTGACTGGTCGCACCGATGAAGCTAGCCGGTCCGGACCCAGGTGATGTTGACCTGCCTCTCCCGTCACCGCCGCATCGGACTTGCTCTGCTGCATCCGAACCGGCGAGTCGGCGATGGAGAGCTCGGACATGCGCATGGCCTCGAACGAGTGGCCCTCAAACGAGACCGATGCCTCTCGCAGGACGCTGTCATTGGGTGAGAGCGAGGTGGTGGTGTCGGTGGGGAGTGGCAGAGGTGGAGGCGATGAGGGAGATGATGACAGAGAAGAGCTCTCGGTAGAGCATGAGCTCTCGATCGACTCGTCGAGTGATGACAAGATTGGTTTGGTGGTTGTGGTTGTGGTTGTGGCGGCGGCTTCAGCTTCAGCTTCAGTGACTGCGTCATGGACAATGTCGATGAGGGTGGCCTTGCGGGCTTTGGAGGGGAAGGTGATCTGGGTGCGGGAGGAAGGAGGGGCGGTGAGCGGGGTTGAGCGGGGGGGGGGGGGGGGGGGGAGGGGGGAATGGGAGAGGGTGCGTACATGGTGCTTCTTCAACCATGTCTTCAGCTGCTTCACTGTGTGCTGCTCTGGTGCTCGTGCCACAGCTGTCTGCTCCATGCCGGTGGCCAGTGGCTTTTGGCGCCAAAAGTTCGCGCGACGAGTGTCTGTCCGGAATGGTGATTCGGACAATGGCGTGACCTGGGACAGCTCATGCCCGACTCGGCAACCGGTGGGCAGGCTTGGTTGGGTGTGGTCATGACGGCTGATGTGCCTGGATCTGCGCGGTGGCGTGCAGGTGATCGTCGACATGATGCCGGGGATGTTCGGGCTCATAGTGTACAGCTCGGCCCAGAAAGGGACCGGACTCGGATCGGCCTGCGCATGACCCGCGCCTCGTCTGCGCCTCGTCTGGACATGTACAGAAGTGGCCTGACAGGGGGAGGACGGTGGGTGGGCGGCGGTGGTGGCGGTGGCGGCGGGCGGGCGGCAGGCGGGCGGCAGGCGGCGGGCGCTACTATTTCTGCGACTGGTTGTAGACAACGAGGAGCATGACGAGGAAGACCATGAGGAGAATAAGATACATGCACATCTTGTCCTTGCCGACCTTCTTGAGGATCTTGGACAGGCGCTTGTTCGAGTTGCGGATGTGCTCTGTGACCTCGGCAGCACGACGGTTTGTCTCGTCGAGCATGATGTTCTGGCGGTCCAGCTCGCCACCCATCTCAACGGCAATGTCGCGGAGGGTGGCAACGCCGTCGGCAATGGCGTCGAGCTCCTGGTCGATGTCCTCGTTGCGGGCCTCAATCCGCATCAACGCCGCCTCGACTTCTTCATCATCGATGGGCGCCAGCTGCGACATGGTCGGGTCGTCCGGAAGCTCTGCCGCGCCGTTGCGGCCCGAGCGCGAGCCTGCAACGCCGACACCCGCGGCAGCAGCCCCCGCCATCAGGCGGGACCTGTTGTCGCGGTCGACCTTTGAGGTATACCTCCGCTTCTCTAGCCGCTTGCACTCGCGCAGGTGCTCCTTGACCACCTTGAGCTGATCGCCACGAAGGGCCAGCTCTTCGCGCTTGTCTTCGCTGGGAGACTTGCCAGCCTTCTTCTTCTCGGCCTTGAACAGCTCCTCTAGCTCATTGACCTCAGCCTCGACCTTGACCAGATCCCTTCGAATACGAGAACCAAGCTCAATGGTGCTCGGGGCAGCAGCAACGGCAGAGCCCAGCAGCTGGTCCCGCTCTTTGAGCGACTCGCGAATGGCTCTCAGCTCGTTGGCAATGGTCTTCTTCTTGCTCCGGAACGGGGTCGCCTGCGCCCGCTTGGCCTGCTTTCGTCGCAACTCTACAGAGCATTCCTCCTCTATGTACCGCAGCTTGCCAAGGAGGACGTTCATGGTGGAGGTGGAGGTGGGGTGGGGTGGGGTGGGGTGGGGTGGGGTGGGGTGGGGTGGGGTGGGGTGGGGTGCCATCGTGATCGACGGCAGCCGCAGCGAGCGGGGGCGTGACCGTTGGCAGTTGTCAGACGGGGGAGGTGCGTGGTGGACGTCGACGTGGCGATCAAGGAGATGGTGGACGGCTGGGTGCGGAGGGGTTGGCAGTCGGGGTAACAGGGTTGATCGGAGGTGATTGGTAAAGGGGCGGGGAAGGGGGAGGGAAGGGGAGGGGAGCGCGCGGTGGAGGTGGGACCGAGTGGATGGCTGGGTGTAGAGGGGCTGATCAGGCCGCCAGTCACAGTTCGCAAACCACGATCCTCAACTGTTTAGCCCCAACGTACACCGATCCCCTCCCTCCCTTCCCCCCTCCCTTTCCCCCCTCTCCATCCCCTCCCCTCCCCCTTTCCCCCCCTCTCCATCCCCTGCCGCCCCAATGGAAGAAAACGAGGCGGCTGACAATTCCGACAACTTTCCATTGAGCGGCGACAGCAGCCGCCGCCGCAAAGACACAGGGACAGCACTCGACTCGGACAAAGGCGGCGAGCATAGGCAAGAGGAAGAGCAAGAGTGTGATCGGAAGTGACTACGATGGGCAAGACTGGTGGTACTGGAGCTGTTGCGCGTGTGTACATTGTCAAGACACACTTCCTTGACAAGAATGAGCGCATGGCTCTGGCACGGGCTCTGGCTCGCGGCAAGCTCGAGCTTGTCCTTGGCCGGTCGGGCAGAGTGGATGTTGTTCTTTTCCGGCTTATCTTCATTCGCCTGCAATGCTCTCATCACGTACTCGAGCCGATGATGAGCGCATTGCTTCATGTGGCCATACTATGTGGAATCTCGACCACATCGAGTACGTGCTCGGCCTCCGTGGGGCTCGCTCGTCCCACGTCTCCGCCTGCTCTCTTCCATCTCGCTCGACAACCTCGCCGACGTCGCGCCAGAGATTAGAGAGACCGTCGGCATGGTCAAGCGAGTGGCCGACACTGCTCGTGGCTTTGCTCCCGAGCCAGGCTGCGACTACTCGCTCGCCGACCTGTTCGACAGATTTGCTCCCGCCATTCAGAAGAGGGCCAAGTCCAGCATTGGCACCTCGCAGGCTCCGACCCGGCGGATGGACAGCACTGACAAGGTCATGGACGCGCCCGCCGACGCGCTCGTCATCCGCGACACACTGCAGATGACCAACATCAAGTCGAACAACAACAAGTTCTACATCCTCGAGCTGCTGCTCCTCGACGACGGCGCCGCTGCCGTTGTGACCAACTACGGGCGGACCGGCGCTAGCGGCGGCGGCGTCCGCAAGGAGGCCCGCCTGTACCCGACCGTCGACGCCGGCTTTCGCGGCTACGCCTCCATCTTTGTCGCCAAGGTCAGCAAGGGCTATCGGCCGGTCACCCTCGCCGCTGCCAACCTCGGGTCACCCGCCGCTGACGCTCGCGCCGAGGCCGAGGCTAGGTTGGTCGCCGCCGGTCCAGTCCGCGGCGGTGCCGCCGTCGCTCGCCCCGCCGGCGCGCTGCCCGACGCCGACTCGGCCGTCCTTGGCTTTGTCGACGTCATCGCGCGCGAGGCCCTCGACCGTCTGTTGCAGGTCATTCCGGGCAAGATCACCGTCCGCGGTATCGAGACCCCGCTCGGCGTGCTCTCGGCCCAGCAGGTGGACGACGCTCGTGCCGCGCTCGAGGCCATCCGCGCCGCGCTCGAGGCCGACGCCAGCCACAACGAGCTCGCCACGGCCTCGTCGGCCTTCTACTCGATCGTCCCGCACGACCTTGCGCGGAGCTCGCTCCTCGAGCACATCATTGACACTCCAGCCAAGCTCCGCGCCAAGGTTGAGCTCGTCCAGCTGATGGATGACGTGGTCAACGTCGGCGCCGGCGCAGGCAGTGGCCCCTCGGGCCCTGCCGCCCTCATCGCCGACTCGCCGCAGGTCAAGTACGCCGCCCTCGGCGCCGACCTCCGGGCCGTGCCCGACGACTCGCCCGAGTACGTGCAGATAGCCAAACACGTCCACATCACCGACCTCAAGGACTTTGGCATTACTATCAAGGGGTTGTACGCTGTGACGAGGCCGGGCGAGCCGTCCGACGACGACCTTGCCGGTCTCGTCGGTCCACGCGGCGTCCGCAGGCTCTTCCACGGCTCGCGCGCCTCTAACTGGATGGGCCTCCTTTCGCGTGGCATCCTCCTCCCGCAGACCATTGTCTCGCGTGGCGGCCAGCGAACCGACGCCGGCGCGCTGGGCGCGGGCGTCTACTTTGGCTCGGACGCCTCCACGGCTGCCCAGTACTGCACCCCAGTTGCAGCCGCCGGCCGCCCGCCGCGCCGCTTCATGGCCATCGCCGCCGTCGCCGTCGGCAACGCCGCTCGCCTCACAGAGCCGAATCCGCTGCTTCTCTCGCCGCCGCACGGTGCTGACTCTGTCCACGGCTCGCGCATTGACGAGCACGGCGAGCCGACGTCATTTACTGACGATGAGTTTGTCGTCTACGCTCCCGGCCGCTATGCGCTCCGTTACATTGTCGAGTTTGAGGCCAACGTCGTCGCCATGCAGACGCTCAAGCCCTCGCCCAAAGGCTTTGTCTCGATCAAGAGCGCACCCGCACCCGCGCCCTCGCCCGCGCTCATTTCTCTGCCTGCCGACGCCCCCAGTGGCGACGCCAGCCGCGATGGGCCGCACTTTCCCCCGCGCGTCTATGCCCATGGCTCGAGGGACAGCCTCGGGTTTGAGCCGGCTATGATCCCGCGCCCGAACGGGCTTGTCATCGGGTCGATGCCGCAGCCGCCGCCGCTCTCGCGCGACGCGCTCATTGTCTCAGAGCTTCTCCGCCGCTGTAGGCAGCTCTACCGCGGAGGCACCATCTCTCGCGAATGCTACTCTGAGTTCAAGGACGCGATCCTCTCGGATGGCCCACTCTCCCAGGTCTGGACGAGGGTGCTCACCGTCCTCGGCCCGACATCACACCCTGTGCTTGGCCTCCAGCCCGCTGTTGCCACCACCATCCTGGAGTTTGCCGTCACCGCTATGTAAACCATCGCCGTCTACTGTGTCGTGAGTGGCAAGAACTGAACGCGTGCGATGGTGTGTGCGATGGCGTGGCATGTCTCACAAAGGACACGCGACAGCGAGCGGCAGAGAGCGGCGGTTTCGCCCGACGCTCCCGCAGGCACCACCGCACTCGGGGCGGCTGCCAACAACGCAGCGACTGGTGTGGGTGGTTTCAGGAATGTACCGACTTGTACGTTTGACAGCATGTTGCGCATGCATAGTACTTGATGTGTGCCGAGTTTGACTCACGTGGCTTTGTGCTTTCATCTTGGCGAGGCTGCTGAGTGTAGGCGGCTGTCGGCCCGCAGGGTGGCGGGAAGACGGCGCTGGCTGTTCGCTGGGCGAATGGCGACTTTGTGGCGGCGAGCGAACTGGCGCCGACCATCATTTCCGAGTTTGGTCCGCGTCCGATGCTCGCGCAGCAAGGGCATGGAAGAGGGGAGCAAGGTGATAGTGATCAAGACCAGGTCGTGGTTGTCGACATCTCGGGCGATCGCGCAACATGGCGGGCGGTGTACGCCGAGTGGCTCGGCGATGAGACCATCGATGGCTTTGTTCTTGTCTTTGACGTCTCGGACGAGGCCTCGTGGCGCGCACTACCAGAGTATTGGCATGCGGTGCTGGCTGCAGTCTCACGTGGCCATGTCCAGGCCGCGCGGAAGCTCGTTGCGCCGCAAGCTGGCCAGACCGTGCCTCGGGCTGACAAGGCCGGGCGGCAGGCGGCGGCCAAGTTGCGAAAGAAAGCTCTGGCCAAGCTCGGCAAGCAGCGCGGCGGCGGATCACTGTTCAACGATCCGACGCGCGCTGCCATTGATGACTCGCAAGCGAGCCTCGCTGCGGCTGGCCACCACTCGCTGGTGGAGGAGCTCGCGCCACCGCCGATGCTGGTGGTTGGCACGCATGCTGATCGCCCGCAGCGGTTTGCAACCGTCGCCGACATGGCGGCCGAGGTCTGGGCCATCTTTGGCGCCCCATACATCGAGGTTTCTGCGCTCAGCGGAGCCAACATCGATGCCGCCGTTGCCAAAGCGGTTGGTCACGTCCGGGCGCGGCATGCTGCTGCGATCCGGCTTGGCGCACCGCTGCCGGTCGAAGCAATCACTCGCTCGGGGTGGGTGCATGTTGCGCGGGCCGGGGGCCGGCGAGCCAAAGCGTACACCCAGGCCAAGGCGACCAAGGACATGACGCCGCGGTGGGTGGTGTACACGGCGCCCGGGGTGTGGCGGATGTACGCGTCAGAGGCCGACGCCGCCGTCAACGTGAGGTCTGAGGTAGTCCTGCTGGAAGTTGCGCCGGCATCGCTACCTCTTGGCCGGCCACAGTGGGTGGCGCAGGGCGGGTTTGTGGTGGCGGGCGCCCTTGGTGCTCTCGACGTTGTTGCGCCATCAGCCGTCGACGCGGCAGCCTGGGTCGATGCGCTCAACGCAAGCGCTGGAGCTGAGGATGAGGGCCGGGTCACGTTTGATGCTGTTCAGGTTGTGAGCAGTGACGAGATGACACCTGCCAGGCAGCAGCGGCTGGATACGACGCGGGACCCGACAGTACGGCGTGCGCCGCGGATCGCGACTAGGCTCTTTCCCTCGGATGAAAGTATGTCGAGCTGCAGCGCGGAGCAGAAGCTGGCTCCTCTGGCCACGAGCGACAACGAGTCGACGAGCTCGAGTGGTGTGGGGCTTGAACCTGGTTCGTCGTTAGCTCCCAGATCTGAGAGTGAGGATCGAGCTGGGCCGGGTTCGAGTTGGCGGGTACAGCAGCAAGAGCGTAGCCAACTTCGGAGTCCGGGCCGCACTGAGCGAGAGAGGTTTGATCAGGCTGCGCATCGCGAGCGACGAACGGCGTCGAGGGAAAGTAGCAGGAGTCGGAGTTGTGGTCGCGATCAGAGTGGAGAGTCTGGCGGTGAACGTCGAGCGTTGGACGGAGCAGGCACGACAAGGCTGCGCATCGCGAGCGACGGACGGCGTCGAGGGGAAGTAGCAGGAGTCGGAGTTGTGGTCGCGATAAGAGTGGAGAGTTTGACAATGGCCAGGGTAATGCTGAGGGAGGGAGGCACGACAAGGCTGCGCATCGCGAGCGACGAACGGCGTCGAGGGAAAGTAGCAGGAGCCGGAGTTGTGGTCGCGATCAGAGTGGAGAGTTTGACGATGGCCAGGGTAATGCTGAGGGAGGGAGGCTCGACAAGGCTGCGCATCGCGAGCGACGAACGGCGTCGAGGGAAAGTAGCAGGAGTCGGAGCCTCAGTTCCCATCAGAGCAGCGGCTTTGGTCGGAGCTGTCCGACACAAAACGATTTCGATTGTGCTGCTGTGCCGACCAGGCAGGGTCACGACCGCGTCGCAGCTCGCCGGACGGTGCGTCATGGTCCAAATCAGCACCAAAACAGCCCCCGATTCCGCGATCGCTCAGCAACGTCGCGCGATGGACGCCCAGACCAAAGCTGGGGCCGATCTGAGCGGAAGCACGACAGCTTTGGAGGCCGCTCTGCGAGACGCTTGTCCTCACCTGTGCTGACAGACCAAGGCAGAAGCCAAGACAGGCGTCGGGGTGAGCACGAGCGCGTCAATCGTGACAGTAGTGGATACCTCAAGTCATACACCCGCATCGCTCGCGATGAACGCAGCCCCTACGTGGATATGGCTTGTCCCAAGCCGGACCTGGCGGTCCTTTCAACCGCAGCTGCACGCATCCTTCGATCGCGTGAGCTCGGTCACACTGCTGCTGCAAGCCGGTCGCTCTGGAACAGCCAGGACCCGCGTCCACTCTTCCGCAAGTCCCCGATGTCGGTTCCCGACAACGGATCGAGTCGCCTCGACGGCGTTAGTCATCGACCGTCGGTTATGAGCCCGGACTTGAGCCCCATAGCACCCCGCGGGAGGCAGTCGAGCGTATCGGTGACCATGCCGCGGGTGGCCGTTGTGGAGCCGTCGGTTCTTGATCTTGATGAGCTCGCCCTCCTTGAATCTGAGGCTTTCGTCGCTCTTCCCAATGTTGATCTCGGCTCAAGCGAGACCTCCAGCGGGCGGGCGGAGAGTGTCTGCCTTCCTAACGTGCACACATCGACGGACACCACCGGCGATGTGCTTTCTTCTGTTGATGAGGATGCGACAAGGCCTACATCTACTGGTGTCCTTGTGGGTGTAGCTGGGTCTAGTGTCACCTCCGTCGCCATGCCTGCTTTGCCTACTGCAGGGCATGCTGATGCGCCTGCGGATCTCCATGCTGCGCACGGTACACCTGCATACGCCATTGCACCGACTACCGCACCTCCATTGCATGCACCTCCCGCCGCGACTGCTGCCACGCTTGCTGCGCCTGCTGCAGTGCATGCTGATGCGCCTGCAGATCTCCATGCTGCGCGCGCTACACCTGCATACGCCATTGCACCGACTGCTGCTGCTGCATTGCATGCACCTCCCGCCGCGACTGCTGCCACGCTTGCTGCGCCTGCTGCAGTGCATGCTGATGCGCCTGCGGATCTCCATGCTGCGCGCGCTACACCTGCATCCGCCATCGCGCCCGTTGCTGCTGCTGCATTGCATGCACCTCCCGTCGCGACTGCTGCCACGCTTGCTGCGCCTGCTGCAGTGCATGCTGATGATGCGCCTGCGAATCTCCATGCTACTGCCACGTTACCTGTGCCCACCATCGCACCCGTTGCTGCTGTTGCATTGTCTGCACCTGCCTCCATGCCACGCTCGCTACCCGGCCCGCCTGACCTCGCCCTCGCTCCCAATGTTTCTTGTGAACCATCGACAGCTCCGCCGCCAGCACCGGTTGCGCCCGGCCATCACCCGCGTATGCTCGGCTCGACGCTGTCCTCACCCTCGAGCACGCTGTTGTCCTCCGCTGGAGCTCACCATCGGCCACGGCCGTCCACGCGCTCTTCCGTGCCTCTCCGCCACACGGTGCGCACGTGGCCATCTACCGCGGTCGTGGGCACTCGTTCTACGACTCGGACCTCCCGCATGCCACCACATTCTTGTACTCGCTTCATTGCCTCGACGCACTCGGTCGTCCCGTCTGCCCGCCAACTGTGCTCCCAACAGCCACCGCTCATCGCGGATGAACGTAAAACCGGACAGACTCGCCTAGCGCGACATGGTGCGGGCCGGCGACGAGCCCGATGCGCAGCGCCGCAGGTGATGACCACGGCTGAAGCTTGACTCGGACCGTGAGTCGCACCGCGAGCGACCGCCGCGTCGCCAGCCGGATCCGCTTCCGTGGCACGCGTGTGTACTGAACCTGCCCGTCCGGGAGCTCCACCCGAACCGCGAGAGCGTCGATGACTCCGGTGCCAGCCTCCACCCGCGCTTCGACGTTGATCGGGAGTGGAACAAGTGCAGATGCCGAGACTGCCGCGCCGGCGTTCTCTCGCGGAACAGCCACAACGCCGCGGACGCGCCGGACGCTGCGCAGTGTCCGCAGCGTCGCGCTGTCATCCACCAGCGTCGGGACCATCGCCTTCACCGCTGCGTGCGCCGCCGCGCACGTCTCCACACCCGAGCTCGGCGTGCCCTGTGGAACCGTCGCCGCCACCGTCAGTGCATCAGCAAACGCCGGCGCGAGGCTCCGCCCGCTCTTGGAAAGGCTGCGCTTCACGGTGCGGATCTGCGCCCCAAGCTGTAGCACATACCGGCTCCGCCCCGCGCTCCCAGTCGCCGACGGATCTAGCGACGCGCCGACCAGCTCCAGCGCCGAGCCGAAGAGCTCGTACTCGGTCACCACACTTGCCAACGATGCTGGTAAGCCAGCGACACCTGTGCGGATCTCTTGTGTCGCCACGGTGACCTCCTTTGCCAGCTGCCGCCACAGCACGCCGTGCTCGGCATCCAAGCCCAGACCGTGCGCCTCGCGCTGTGCCCGGACAAGCACCACGAGCCGCCCCAGCAGATGGCCGGCGCCAAGCCCTGTCTCAGAGCGCTCCAGCGACTCGACCGCATGTGCGACGCCCGAAAGCTCGGTTCCGGAGCCCTCTCCGCGCGCGGTTGCAGCCAAATCGCGTAGGAGCCGGCCCATGGTCGAGACGCCGACTGGCGCGGCGGAAGCAGCCGACGGCGGCGCTGCTGTCGGTGGCGGCAGACTTGCCGCCGGAGGGAAAAACCGCGGGAGCTTGTCGGCAAGGTAGCCGACGTGGCGAGCGGTGTACTTGGGCAGCAGCGCGTAGATGGCTGGGACCTGTGAGGCGGCGGCAAAGACGAGAACCATGAGCGCAATGTACCGCGGGTCGTCAACCGGCGGCTCGCGCGATTCAAAGACAGCCGAGATGGCAAACAGCTCCGAGGTGAGAAAGTGGACAAAGGCCGGGTGGGCACGGCCAAGCGCGGCAGCGAGGCCGTAAACTCGCGCCTCGTCGCCTGGGTACTTGAGAAGCGACGCGATGACACCCGAGACGGTGGCGTGGAGCGCCGACGCCGACGGCAGCTTGATCGACGCCAGAAGCGAGTACGTCGCGCCACGCAGCGCCGGCGACGCGTCGCCAACCAGGTCCAGCACCGTCTTGAGCGCCGAGTCGGAGAGCTGCACGCGGCCGCCCATCTTGGCCATCGACGTGAGGGCATTAAGTCGGACAGCGTCGATCTCGTCGTTGAACATGTCGACAAGAAAGTCTGCGGCAGCGTCGGCGAATCGCGGCGACGCCGCACCCACTGCCAGCTCGCACATGGCGTCGATGGTGGCAGAGCGGACGTGCCAGAACTCGTCTTCCAGGCCGTGGACAAAAGCACCGACAGCGCCGGCCTCCAGCAGCCTGACATGCGGCGGTAGCTCAGCTTCGCCAAACACCCGCACCATATTGTTGTACTGCTTCGACCGCCGCTTCGGGTCCTGGTCCACCGTCAGAATCTTCTTGTCCAGCGTCTGGATAAGCAGAAAGTCGTCGACGCCCGAGAGCGCGCCGAGCCCGCGCGCCGCTGCCGCCCGCACGTGTCGGTCCGGATCGGTGACCCGGGTGCATAGGAGCGTAAAGCCGTGCTCGAGCAGCCGTGGTGTGTGCACCCGCTCCACCACTGCCTCGTCATCATGCGTACCGCTTGTCTTGCCTACCAGGTTCGTCGCCGCGTCCCGCGCCTCGATTCGGTGCTGCGGGTAGAGCAGCACGATGCGCCAGACAACCGCCACGGCTGCCAGTCGGACCGCAGCGTATGGGTCGTCGAGCAGCCGCGTGCTACGAGAGTAGCTCGCAAGGAGGAAAGGTGACGGCGGAAGCGCTTGCAGCCAAGCGAGCCCTGCCGCCCGCGTCGCAGGGTCGCCGTCGGCCAGTGCGTCGTCGAGCCAGCCGGCCTGGGCCTTGTCAAGCGCGCCCGAAGACTGCATCCGCGCGAGAGACGCCACGACCGCCGCCCGGTTGCCCTCGTCCAGCACGCCACGCAACGCCTCGCCCATCCATGCCATCACGCGCGGGCGATGGACGCTCCCGAAGCGGCAGCAATCACGCCGACGACCTTGTGGACGAGTCGGCGCGGGAACTTGTCCGCCGGCACGGCAAGCAGAACATCAACCAGTTGACGTCGCATGCCGTCATCGCTTCCGATGGCAGCCACCACCGAAGAGGCCACCATCAGCGCGGCATCCATGCTCGCCACCACAGTAGAAGCCGACGATGACGATGATGACGATGATGACGACGATGACGACGATGACGACGATGTTGTCGTCCACTGCTCGATGAGGTTGGCCATTGTGTGGACGATGACAGGAGCGACAGCCGTCCGCTGCTCGACATCCAGGGGAAGCATATCAATGACCAGAGACAGACCATGTGGTTGCGGATGGATGTGATGAGCAGCCGCTGCCAGACGAGACGGAGCCCATAGCTCCAATGACTCTGCTGCCGTCCGCATACGAGCAACATCACCACTGGCTTGATCACTACCTTCATCACCTCCGTGCCTTCCTTCCACCAGTAGCCGCGCACGCTTCCTCTCCCTGCCATGACCATGACCATGACCATGACCATGACCACTGCTGGTCGTGGCGCTGCTGGTCGTCCTGGTCGTGCTTGCTGTCGTCGTCACCTCGGTCTGGGTGCCCGACCCACGGGTGGCGTCACGCCGAGAGGAGGCCATAGGCATGGCGTGATGGGTGGGTGGTGGGGATGGGGGGGGGGGGGGAGGTGAGGTGGTAGTGTGGTGTGTGGTGTGTGGTATGTGGTGGGTGGTGGGTGTGCGTGGTGGGGGGTGGCGGCTGGCAGTCGGCGGCCGTCGGCGGTAGTCAGTGGCGGATGGCTTGGGAAGCGGGTGGGCGGTTTGTGGGGGGGGGGGGGGGGGCTGGAGTGTGTGGATGGGGGCGATAGGAGATCGGGGAGGGAGGGGGTGTGTTACACACGAATCACCCACAGCATGGCCTTCTCTGGCGGTAGCACGGCCTCATGGGGGCTGGTGTGCGAATCAGGATTTGGTCCCCTTGGCAGAGTCGATGGCCTCGCGGAGGGCGCTGACCCAGCGGATCTTGTCTTCTTTGGTTTCGGCGTACAGCTGGTATGTCCGCTCGGTGACCGCCACGTTAAAGGTCCAGTTGTGGGTGTGGTGGGCCGGTGGGTTGGCCTCGAGCTCGGCGTCGGTCAGATCGATGGCGCCCTTGGCGCGCGACAACACATCGCCGCCACCCTGGTCGGCATACGCAAGGTCTGTGCCGATGATGCAGAACCAGCGTTTCTTCCAGTTGTGGCGCCAGCCGCCTTTCTTGTACAGATAGCCCTCGCACGATGCGGCGAGTGTGGGCTCGCGGACGCTCGGGCGCTCCTGCTGAATGCGCATCGAGCTCCGCTTTGCCTCCTTGGCTGCCTTTGTTGCTGCCGCGTCCGACGATGCCTGCTGGACGTAGCTGGCCGGTACCAAACCGGCCTCGCCTGTCGGCTTCACCGCCACATACCAGTGCTCATCGACCCGCTTGGCGTCGACCAGCAGATCGCCGACCATGAAGCCAAGCTCGTCCATCTCGGGCTGCCTGTTGTCCCGCACCGCCACCAGCGTCAGCAAGTTGTTCGACCTGTCCTTGTACATCGCGTATTAGCGCTGACGTGAGTGAGTGCAGCAGTGAGCGATGGCCATGCCTCGACGGCACCTGTCGGCCATGTCGGCCATGACCGGGGCAGACACACACACGCTCATACACATACATATATGTACATACATGCCCCCCCTAAACAAGCAGACCATGTTGGTGAACTCCACGTACATCTCTTCTTTCTCCCGGGACGAGTGTGTGGGCATACGGATTGGCAGGGAGTGTGGCTAGCTGTTATCGAATAATCATTGGCCCAACGATCACCAGCCAGACCACAACAACAATCATTGGCCCAACGATTACCCGCCAGACCACAACAACAACAATCATTGGCCCAACGATTACCCGCCAGACCACAACAACAACAATCATTGGCCCAACGATTACCAGCCAGACCACAACAACAACAATCATTGGCCCAACGATTACCCGCCAGACCACAACAACAACAATCATTGGCCCAACGATCACCAGCCAGACCACCACAACAACAATCATTGGCCCAACGATTACCCGCCAGACCACAACAACAACAATCATTGGCCCAACGATTATCCCCACTCCGCAACTGCCACCACCCCTCCCCGCCCCCCTCCCCCACCCACCCACCAACAGCATGGGTAGAGAGACGCGAGGAAGGAATGGCGGGGAAGAGCTCGGCAGAGCAGGAGGCAGAGGTGGAGGCGGTGGAGGCGGACGGTTCGACCTGGCAGCAGCCAAGGAGACGGCGCGGCAGCACTTGGACGCGTTCATCGGGCCGACCTTCCTCGCCCTCTTCCACACATCGGCTCTGGACAAGTTCCTTATGCTCATCCTGAGATACTCGGTCGCCGTGGTGCAGGCTCCGCCCATGCCTGCCAAGGTCATGTCAGAGCTGCTTCGCATCGTCGGCATGCACTACGCAGAGCTGCTGCGCATGCCCAGATCGGCTCTGGAGGACCAACGCCGGGCTGCTGCCCATGCTCATCATCGCCGCTCGGCTATGTCCAGTCGCCTTCTCTCATCTCGCCCAGAAAGCGGTCGGAGAGGCCGGAGACCGGACCGTGGTGCGGCGTCGGGCTCGGCGCTGTCGTCGACGCGACGGACGACGTCGCCGTTGCCGCTGCTGCTGCGATCGAACATCACCCACAAGGCGCTGATGACACACGGCGGGGGCCGTAGCGGTGGCGCCGGTGGCAGCAGTGCTCGCCACTTCTCGTCCGCCCGGGCTGATGGTGGACATGTTCGTGGCAAGGTTGTGTATGATGTCTACCGGTCGCCCATGCTCCCGCCGTTCTTCCAGAAGGCCGAGCAGGAGCGGGTCTTCTACGAGACACTGTACAACTTTGTGGTTCGGCTGGTGGTCTTTGTCTTCAATCCGGCGTACACGGCCTCGCTGGCGACCGAGCTCAACCGGCTATTCCGGACCTCGATGTTCAACGCGCGCCAGCCAGCGCTTCCGCCGCCGGACGCCGACGATCCTGTGGCGACGGCGAAGCGGCTGCACTCGTGGCGCCAAGGCCGCGAGGCGCCGTTCCAGACTTTGTTGGAGAAGTTTGAGAGCACGGTAGTCAAGGGCTCGGGCGGGATGCCCTCGCTGGTGGCACCGTCGTCGCGCTTCCTCGACGCCGTTCCTGTCCGCAAGGTTATCCACATGCGGTCTCCACTGGTGGCGGCCTTCCTCCCCACCCGCGCTGAGCGCATCAAGGCCGCTGAGGCCGAGACGCGCGAGATCACCCGCCGCGAGGCCCGCGAGGCCCGCAAGCGCCGCCGCATTGCCCACGATCGCCGCCGCCGTCGCAAAAGGACAGCCCGCCTCGAGGCTGCCGCCCGCAAGGCCGCAGCCGTCAAAGCCCGCAAGGCCGCCGCCATCTCGGCGCTCACCGGCGGCGCCTCGGCCCGTGCGCCCGATGCACACGACGCCGCCGACGGCGACGACCAGTACTCGTTCGACTCGCAGGTCAACGACTCGTCACTCTCCGGCTCGTCGTCGACCTCGTCGGCCTCGTCGTCGTCATGGTCCTCCTCCGAGTCGAGCCTCGCCTCGGCGGTCTGGGCCAAGGTTCCGTTCCGTGACGAGCTTGGCGACGCCTGGTACGATGGCCTGTACTCGACCGACGAGCTCAGCGTCCGCATCAACTACGTCAACTCGCGCGCCATAGACGTTCTCCTCGCTAGCCAGAAAGGCAAGCCCAAGTCTGGCGGGGCGAGCCTGACCTCTTCAAGCGCTGCCGCCGGAGCCGCTGCCACCGGAGCCGCTGCCTCGGCCAAAGACAGCTCGAGCGGCCGGCAGAGCTCTCTGCCGCGGCTTACCGAGGTACGGACGGCCTCACTCCGTGGCTCGCGGTCGCGCCCGCTCCACAAGCGATCACTTGTCCGCGGACCGGCCGCGCGCAAGGTCTCCGGCTCTGGTCTGATCTCGGACGCGTCAATCGCCTCGCTCTCCCAGTCGCACGCCTCGCACGAGGAGCGCAAGCGCCGGACGTCATCAGCCGCCGCCGGCTCCATCGAGGTCGACCTCCTCGCCGCCCTCAAAAAGGCCAAGCTCAGGCGCGAGGAGACGCTTCGTACCTCAGCCATCGAAGAAGTCGCAGAATTGTATCTGTAGCCGTCGCAGTGGCCTCGAATGAACAGCTTGGTGCCGATCGGGCGGGAGCAGCCGTAGGGCGGGCGGGAGCAGCCGCAGGGCAGGCAGAGTGGCGACGGAGACATCGAGGTACGGAGACACCTCTCCTGAGCGGAAGACTCTGGCATGAGAGCTGTCCACTCGCTAGCGATAAGCATGTTCACCTTGCTGGCTCTGGTTGTTACAGCGAGCTCGGGTGACGGCTCTACCGCTCCAAGGAGCTCGCCATGTGTGCGGTTCCCGTCGCGGGACGGCGTGCCGCTCTCGCCGGACCAGTGGCGGGCGGAGCTGGCGAGCGCGGCTGAGGCGGCGCTTGCGGCGGCGGCCGGGAGTGGGTATATGTTTGAGACCGACGGCGGCAAGAGTGCACATGCAGTACACGTGCCATGCATCGACGGATCGAGCATTCCGACCGGTCTGGACGCACTTGACGTCGGCCGATCGCTCGGCTTCCCCATCAAGTTCACCTCGCTTCCGGTGGGCGCGCTCACGCCCGAGGCCATGGCGCCCGATGGCGGGTTTCCGGTTGCGGTCGGTGTGTACGAGGTGAACGAAGGCCAGAGCATCAAGTACTACTTCCCGGACGCGCCGCTGGCTAGTGAAGGGCTGGTCGATGGTGACACTGCGGCGCGGGCGGGTTTTATGACCGCGCGCAACGTGAGCAAGCGCGATGTGGCTCGCCGCGCGTTTTTCCATCCGCCCGAGCTGGAGCGAGCGCGGTATCTCGCAGTCCATCCGCGCGCGCTGGCGCTGGTGGGAGACGAGATGCCAGCGCTGGACGTGCTGGCGCCGGGCGAGAGTCGGGCGCGTGCGTTGCAGCAGGCAACGGTGTGGATGGGTTCTGCAGGCGTGGTGGCGCACAGCCACTACGACCTCGGCCACAACATGTACGCACAGCTGTATGGATCCAAGACGTTTCATCTTGCGCCGCACAGCGCGGTGGATGCACTGGGCGGCGCGTACGCGGCACTGCATCCGGGCAAGCGCATCGCCCGCGGGCAGCCTGTTCTGGGGCAGTTCCCGCTCGTCGCCGCGCTCGCTGCCGCCGATGTGCTCTACATGCCGCCGATGTGGTGGCACTCTGTCCGTGCCGAGACCCCGTCGATCTCGGTCAACGTGTGGCATGCTGATGCGGGCGTGGGCGGGGCGCGCGTGGCGAGCGGGCCGCGCGGGCGGGCTGCGCTGCGCCAGTGGGTGCTCGAAGTTCTGGCCGGCGTCGGCGCGTCGCCTGCTCTCCTTCGAGCGCGGTACACCGAGCCGAGCGTGGGCGGCAGCGCGTGGCGGGAGATCGCGTGTCCGGAGACGCGTGCCTCTATCGTGGCGACAACAATGGCTGCGCAAACGGTCGCCGACTGCAAGGCTGTGGGCGGCGCCGCGGCTGCCGGCTCGCTCGTGAGCTCCGAGGCGATCCGAGCCGACATTGCGGCAGCGGCAGCGCGGACAACCGCGCTAGACGTCATCGAGCGCAGCATCTACGCTGTGATGGGTGACGCAGCTGCCGTCGGACCGTTTATCGCCTGCTTGGAGGCAGGTCATGACGAGTTGTAGCAAACATGCGCAGAGCGATCACAGCATCGGCATCGGTCTGTGTCTCGAGTGGTCGAGTGGGCGAGGCTGGCACGGACAGGCAGAGCGACATGGCGAACGGCGGACAAGTGGTGCCGCCGTGGGAAGATGGGACGGTCGCGGTCTCTGGTGAGCGGCTTGCACTTGACTGAAGGGCAAGCCAGGAAGGAGAAGAAACTCGCCGCGCCAGTCATGTTTATGGCACACTTTGGCATGGGCTTTGTACGGACGGGGGGGTTGGGCAGGGAGGGAGTGAGGGAGCGAGGGAGGGGAGGAGGGGAGGGGAGGGGAGGGGAAGGGGAAGGGGAAGGGGAAGGGGGACTGACTGGTTTGGTGTTGTGGACATGGGCGTGGGCATGGACATGGGTATGGGTATGTTCTTGATGTGTGCGATGGTGTTTGTCGTCGTGGTGCTGGTCGTCGTCGTGGTGCTGGTTGTCGTTGTGGTGCTGGTCGTCGACGTGGTGCTGGTCGTCGTCGTGGTGCTGGTCGTCGTCGTGGTGCTGGTCGTCGTCGTGGTGCTGGTCGTCGTCGTGGTGCTGGTCGTCGTCGTGGTGCTGGTCGTCGTCGTGGTGCTGGTCGTCGTCGACACCTCCGCTTGATCTCGGGGTGCTTTCTCGCTCTCTACAGCTGGCCAAAGTGATGCATCAGAAGCTGAGTCTCGGTCAGTGCATGGCTGTAGCCATCGCCCCGGACATGCTGTTCTATCTTGCGGTGATGGCTACGTCACGGGAGTCGCTGGTATACAACGGGTCGCTAGCCGGCAAGTCGCTGCCTTTCACCTACACGTTTCCGGTCTCGCACTCGCTGGGCGTCATGATGGCACTGGCGCTGACGCTGGCGGTGCTCGCCAAGCGGTACAGCGCCCGTGATTTGACAGTCGCACTCGGCCTCGCACTCTCGCACTTTATCCTCGACGGGCTCTCGCATCGCGACCCGCTACCGCTGGTGCCGTGGGCGCACTCGCCCGGACTCGACGTGCTTGGCTGGGGGCTGGTGGACAAGCGCCTACCGCTGTTCTTTGGCGAGCTCACGCTGTTCTTTGCCGGCTACATGGCGTACGACTCGATCACCCATGTACACCACTCGTCGGTCCGGTCGCTCGCCTTGCACAAGCCGAGCGGCTATCCCCCGCTGCACTACCTCATCGCCGCGGTTCTTTTCATCCACTGTTTCCTCATGTCTGGCCCTGTGAGCGAGCATGTCGATCCACGCCTCTACACCTTTGTCCTCGGCCTCCTCACCATTCTCCCCATTTTCCTCGCTACTCTCGTCGACCAAGGGCGCGTCTCTGATATCGTGCTCTCCGAGGCCGACCACAAGATCAGATGACCGATCGCGGTCTGCCGCGCTGCTACTTTTGCAAACGCTAAAGAGTGTTGATCGATTGAGAAGGAGGGCTCGTCCCCTCTGTGTGTGTGCTTGCAACTGCCGAAAAACGCTGATCATCCGTCGCGACATTTCTGCACCGTTTGAATCACCTCCCAGCGGACACGCAAGCCCCCGTCATCCCCTCCCCTCCCCTCTACCCTTGCAAACCCACCCACTCACCCCTTGAGCCGCCCGTTTTGAGCCTGGCCAACTGCGATGCACCCGTTTCTCGCCATCTCATCTGATCACGATCACAATCACTCACGATCATGATCGTGATCAGGATCACGATCAAGAGCGCGATTGTGATATCGCCCACGTCCAAGTCCAAGATGACCGCCACAATAGCGATCAACCTCCCCCGACGCCCCCCCCCCCTCCTCCCCCCCCTCCTCTCTCCCCCCCTTCCCCGCCCCTCCCCTCCCCCCTCCCCTCCCCCCCCTCGCCCGCCCCTTTGGTATCGACTTCTCAACGACCCGCTACGATCGCCAGCGAGGGCGACCACCTCGGCCCGTCGCACACCGCACTCGCCCAAACTCAGCATGGACGCTGTTGTGGACTTTGCCACCGAGTACTACGCCGACGCCAAGCGGCTGGTGAACAAGTGCGAGAAGCCCGACACTCGCGGTACGTGAGCACGATAGCTTTGACCACGTCATGGTATACTTTTTGAATGGTCTGGTCTCTTTGCAGAGGGTGTGGGCGTGAGTATGGCCATGGTCAACTCGCTGGTGACAATGTGACCTCCAAATTTCATTGCCGTTTGCCCTCGCCCTCCCCCGCCCTCCCTCCCTCCCCCCCTCCCCCATGGCCATACCACAGCCACCCCCACCCACCCCCCACCCACATATCCATAAGGTATAACTCCCATGTGTAACCATGAGTATATGTCATCCGTGTCATCCCCCTCCCCCCTCCCCCCCACCCCGCTCTCCACAAAGGCATCCCCCCCCCCCACCGCCCACCTCTGCCAAAGCCCCGTCTGTCTGTCTGTCTGTCTGCCCAAGAGTCATGGGCTGGGAAGACTTCCCCCCCCCCCACCCCACCCCACCCCTCCCCACGGGCATGGATGACAGAACAACCACCACCACCTCAACCACTTCCATCACTCACCTGCTGTGTACAGAGCTCAAGAAGGTGTTTGTTGCCACCGGCATTGGCTTTGCTGCCCTCGGCGCCATCGGCTTTGTTTGCAAGCTTGTCTTCATTCCCATCAACAACATCATTGTCGGTTCGTAGATGGATGGCGTGGCTCTCGGATGAGATTGATGCACGTTGTTGTGTGTGGTCTGGTCTAGTCTGGTCTGGTTTGGTCTGGAATGGTGTGGTTTGATTTGGGATGGTGTGATCTCGGTAGCGGCCCTGGTCGGGTTTGGCGGGCTTGGCTTGACTTGACTTGTCTTGCCCTGTCCTACCTCGCCCTTCCCTGCCCTGCCCTTTCCTGCTCTCCTCCGCCCCGCCCTACTCTCGCTCCTGGTCTCTCTAGACACGCACTCGCGCACACATATGCTTGCACACGCGCTCGTGTCATGTCTAGGCAGACCCCCATCACCCCCCACCACCCCAACCCTCCCTCCTCCCCATCCATCCTCGCACTCTGAACCTGTATCAAACTCGATGAAGCCCCCTCTCCCCCCTCCCTCCATCTCCCCTTGCCCTCCTCCTCGCCCTCCACAATCGTTCGTTCTGTCGTTGTAAGACACCTGTCTGACACCCACGCGGCCACCTTCTCTCTCTCTCGCCCCCTCCCCCCCCCCCTCCCCCCTCCCCCCCCCCTCCTCTCCCTCATATGTGGGCACGAGTCGAAGTCGCAGTCCTCCGGGCTCGCAACCTTCCTGCCATGGACCGGTCGGGAACGTCTGACGCGTTCATGGCTGCGCATTGGTCGACGTGTCGCTGTGGGGTGCAGCAGACAGGACTTCGCTCGTTGGCGAACATGGTGGCCGACTCAAGTTCAATTGATGGAATTCGCTCACGATCAGCAAGCCTCTCAACTGGATCGTCGGGCTTGCTAGCGGGCTCGGCAGCTGTTGGCTCGCCAGAGAAGGAGAAGAAGGACAAGAAGAAGAAGAAGAAGAGGAATCGCGGACGGACGCTGTTTGAGCTCTCCAAGAAAGAGCGGAAGAAAGCGCTAAAAAAGTGGAGAGCGGCGCAGGCTCCACCTTGCCGGCCGGCCGCTCGTCGACCATCAGCAAGTCGCTCTGCCCTGTGTGGGACGATGCCATTTTTGTTCCACTCGCCGAGGGCGGCGAGCTCCCGTTCTCGCCCTGGATTGACGGGTCGGCCTCGGCGGAGCGCCACTCGTGCGGCAAGATTGCGCTCGAGTGCTGGGATGCGGATCGGATGTCCAACGGGCTCATCGGTGTGGTCGAGCTCGACACGCTCCACTACCCGGTCTCGGACTTTGGCGCCATCACGCGCTGGATGCCGCTCAAGACGAGAACGGTGGTCGGCGAGGGCGAGGAAGCGCACGAGGTCCTTCGCCGCGGCCAGGGCGAGATCCTTGTTCGGGTCCAGCGGTTCCGCGGCTCGCCGGTGACGCCCGAGACTGGCGCGCTCGCCGAGTGGCTCTTTACCCAGCGACCGGCGACGCTGCCGAACCTCGCTGTCGACATTGCCGCTCATTCGGATGTGGTCTTTGACGTCGAGCCGGAGGCCGGCAAGGCCTCGCTGCAGCTGCGGTTTGATCCGCACGCCGGCGGCAAGCGGGTTCGCAAGGCCGATCTTGCGCTGCTAACCTCGGTCCTCCTCCCACGCGCCGCCGCTCCGCGCCTCCTCCACGCCTTTGACCAGTACTTTACGGGGCTCGATGAGGGCGACGTGGGCTCTGTGGCGCGCGGCGTGGCGCACCTCCTGGGCGCCGGCGTCCTGCCCGAGTCTGGCGCCATTGTCTCGCTCTTCAAGACCCTTTCGGTTGACATGGCGTTTCCGGCGCTCAAGGAGCTGTTTGACGCCGTCTACGAGTCTTTCCCCTTTGTGGTGGCGCCCGAGTGGGATGTTGAGGTCTCTTTTGATCGCCATGCCGTCGTCGTCTTGCGAACGTTCCGGGCCAGCTCTGCCGCACCCGACACACTCCCGTTCTCTTTTGCGGCGACGCAGGAGGTTGTCTTTGACCAGTCGGTCTCGCGGCGGGTGTCGACCAAGGTCTCGGTCGACCCGGCGTCGATGGAGCTTGACGGCATTGGCTCCAAGTCGCTGCGGATGTCGCTTGCCAACGTGCTTGCCGAGTTTGTCGACCCGGTCGCCATCTTTATGCCCATCTGGGCCCGCTCGTTTGCAGATCCGTCGTCGCTGGTGGCGCGCGACATTCCACGGCTTGTCGACAACATCTCGGTGGCGGTCAGCGAGGATATGGTCTGGTCGCGGGCTGCCGTGAGCGAGGACGGCGCACACGGGTTGTCCGGCAACGCGGCATGTGTGTACTCGCTCATCAAGACACTGGCGACTGCGCTCGACGGCGAGGCCGCTGGTCTCCGCGGCGCCGAAGCGTTGGCGATCGAGCTCGCCCACCCGTCGCGGCAGCTGGCCGACTCACTCCTGGCGTGGCTGGTGAGCGAGGAGGCGCGCGGCGCGCTGCCGCGGAGCCTGGCGGTGCTAGCTACGCTGACGCAGGACATTCTCATTCCTGGCGTGCGGATGATGCGCGACGCGGTGTATGAGGCCTTTCCGTACCGTGACTACCGCGGCAGCGAGCACCGGGCGTGGGCCATCAGCATCGAGCTGCCTGCGGCCAACGGCCCGGCTGCGCCTGTGACGGTTGTTCATCAGCGACGCGAGCAGTCGCATGCCGCTGACGATGGCGAGTACTTTGAGCTCGCGTGGTCGCTCCGGCTGGAGCTCGCCGGCGATGGGCTGCGGACTAGCCTTCGACCGGAGCTCCGGGTGTACGACGTGGTGTTCACGGAGCGGACCCACGGCGAGGTCTCGCGCAAGCTCCTCGACGTCGTCCGGCCGCTCTGCTCGCTCACTGATCTGCAGCGGCAGGTCTTCTCCCGCGAGCGGTCGTCGTTCATTGACTTGCTCTACATCCTTGACGGGCTGCGGGTGGTCGACATCCACGGGCGCGAGCTGTTCGAGTTCCCCATGCCGGGCTTTGGCGGCTCGACCTCGCTCGAGTCGCTGCGGCGGCTGCTGCGAATCCTCCTGCAGCGGCTCGACGGAAGGTCAGCCAACGAGCTGGCCGCTGTCGACGCCGCCGTGGCGAGCGTCTCGCATCTAGAGGCGCTCAAGGCTGTCGACGAACTGGTCGTTGGCTCGCCGCTTCTTGCGAGTACAAAGACGTACGACGTGCTCAAGCTCCTCCTCGCACCGAATCTCGTGCACTGCGCCATGACGCTCCGGGCCCAGCTCTACGACGCGCACCCGTACATGGATGCCAAGGGCTCGAATGGGTATGCCATCACGGTGGTGCTCGCGCCCAACGAGGTGGTCCATGTCATCCAGGCCAAGAAGCAGCGCGCGTATGACGCCGACGAGAGCCAGTTCTTTGAGTTTGGCTGGGCGCTCTCGCTGCGGCTTGCCGGCACCGACCTTCGCGCCGCGTTTTCGCTCCTCGACATCACCTTTTCGCCGCACACCTCGACCCACGTCCGACAGTCGCTCAAGTCGCGGTTGCGGCGGATCGCCAAGACCCGCCCGTTTGGCTGCTCGCAGTCTGACGATGGCCACATCGATCCACGGACGTATCTCACGCCGGTCGCCGACCACCTCGGCGTATCGTCGGTCCGGCCTTTTCCGCTCCTTTACGTCCTCCGCTCGCTCCGCGACTGCCTCCCCGACTCGTTTGCGCTTGACGGCGACGAGCCGTTCCATCCCATCGGCGGGCGCGCACTGCTCGACGTCGTCACCGACGCGCTCGAGGGCCTCCGGTTCATCCCCTCGGTCTACCTCGACACCGGCGCCGACTCGGCGAGCGACCTCGGCTCGATGTTCTCGGCGCTCCGCGAAGCGCTAGCAGCGTCGGCCTCCAGCGACGACGCCCCGGTCCATGCCAACAGCCTCGGCGATCCCCCCACAGCGTCGACGGTCTCAGCCGCCTCGTCTACCGCCTCGACACACTCTGCATATTCGTCTGCCACAGACCCGGGCTCGGCCGCGTCGTCCGGCTCAGCCGCGTCGTCGGCCTCGTCCTCGGGCACCAGCTCAGACTCGGACTCGTCGCTATCAGGCTCATCGCCGCAGATCAAGAGCCGCCAAATGTGATTTCATGGTGTCCATACGGCCCTTGCCATCTTTCTCTCTCGCATTTTTTCCCCCTTCCCTCCCTCCCTTCCCTCCCTGCCAGGCGTGCCCGTGATGACGCCACCATTAGCGACCGATGCTCCGCCGCAAACTGCCGCATTTCTGATTTTGGACCACCGGCGGCGCCCAACCACCGGGGACGACGACCAAAGCCCAAGACACGCGACTCTACAGATCAAGGCCCCTAGAGATGACCAAGATGAGCGCTGGCATGTTTGCGGCAGTTGTGGCGATGGCGGTGGTCCTCGCCTCTTCGGCGGACGGCTTTGAGGAGCTGACACTGACACTGCACGGATCAGGGACGACCAACCCGTCGCGGCTGCTGTGGCTGACCGACTCGCTGGTGACGGCGCGGTCCAAGGTTCCCATCCACGCCACGTACCGTGCGGTGGGCTCGTCTGCAGGACGGAGCGAGTTTGTGAACAACTTGAACGATTACGCTGCGTCTGAGCTCCCGCTCTCGCCGAGCCAGTCCTCCGATGTGGCGAGCGACGGTGATGTTGCGCTGCACTTTCCGCTCCACATCGGAGCCATCGGCGTGTTTGTCAACCTTCCGACCGGGAGCAGCATTGCGCCGGGCGCGGCGGTTAACCTGACGGCAGCTGCAGCTGCGGGCATTTTCTCGCGAACCATCACCACGTGGGACGATGCTGCCATTGTGGGCGTCAACCCGGGGCTGACGGTGCCTGCCGGCGCGGCGATCACGGTTGTGCATCGTGTCTTTGGCTCGTCGTCGACCTCGCTGCTTGCGGAGTTCCTCAACGCCGCGGCGCCCTCGCAGTGGCTTGTCCGCTCGTCGGGCGGCGATGCCGTTGCTGCTGTCCTCGACTGGCCGGCCGACACGGTCGGCGTCGAGGGCTCGAGCCAGATGGCGGCCAAGGTGGGTTCCACGCCCGGCTCTATCGGGTACATGGACGCTGGCCACGGGATCGACGCTGGCCTCGCCGAAGTTGCGTTGCAGAACGCGGCCGGCCTGTTCCTCACCTCGGCCAAGGCCGACATTGCCGCCGCAGCCTCGGTGGCGCCGCTTCCGGCCAGCTCGGCCGACGCCTGGGACTCGGTCACGCTCGTCAATCAGCCGGGCACCACGACCTGGCCCATTGTCTCGTTCACATACCTTCTGCTGCGGCAGAACCAGACGCGGGGCGATACCAGCGGCGATGTGGTGTACGGCCAGCACCGCCAACAGCCGGACTCGGGCGCGCTGCTCAAGGCATACGCCGAGTTTCTCTTCTCCACTGAGGGCCAGGAGCTCGCGGCCAAGTTTGGGTTCACCAAGCTCCCGCAGACGGTCATCGACCTCAATGCTGCCGGCCTCGCCACCATCAGGCTCCATCCGGACGTCCCTGTCTTTGCCTTTGAGGAGTCGACCGACACCGTCAACGGTGCCAAGGAGCGGACCATCTCGGTCAAGCGGAAGAGCTACGAGCTGGTGGCGCTCGACGACCACGACGCCCAGCTGACGGCGGCGGCTGCGTCAATCGATGCCCTCACCACCAAGGTCGCTGCTCTCGAGGCGTCGGCTAGCTCGGGCTCGGGCACGGCGGCTATGGCCTCGTCATCGGGCTCGTCGTCGGACGACTCGACCACCGCCAACGTCGCCCTTGCCGTTGCCGCCATCGCCATCATCTTTGCCCTCGCCGCAGGCATCGTTGCCGCGCTCACCCTCCGCAAGCTCAGCGAGCTGCGGGCGGTCATCGATGCCGTCAACGACTCGCTCGTCCCAGGCAAGCGCTCGAACAAAGCCTCGCACAAGTACGTCAAGAACGAGCTCTCGCGCTCGGCCTCATCGGTCTACTCGGACGTCGAGCTCCGCAACGTCAACGTCTAACCATTGAATGACGGCGCGCCGTTGATCCGCCACAGCAAAACGTGCCCCCCTCCCCCCGTATTGCCCGCCATCGTTCACTGTTCACCTGACAGATTGTCTGCCGTCATCAGCCGCAGGCTGGCCGAGTCGCGGTTCGCCATGCTGGAGCCAACCGCGTTTCGCCACATTGGCCTCTCTTGACCAACGGGAGCCATACCTGACGCCAGCCGCAAACCCCTCACCTTTGTTGCGTGTGTGTGTCTGTGTGTGTTGACTCTCCACCTGTGTGTCACCCCTCCTCCTCTCCTCCTCCCCTCCCCCCCCCCCCCTCCCCGTCCCTACTCTTCCGCCTTGGTGGTGGTGGTGGTGGTGGTGCGAAAGCGTGACAAAGTCGCGAAGGCTTTTTTTTCCCCGCCAATTCTCGATTATTGTCAACGACACATAATCGTTGGCGAACAAGTTCTCCTGCATTGTGAGTGGAAACATTGTCATTAGGCGCCAACCTTCATTGTTGGCGGCTCACTTTCAACCAAGCTCTCTAGCCACAGCCATTCTCTATGCCGATCAACGCTTGCTCCCGCATGCGTCTCGCGGTGCTGATGGCCGTGGTCGCCCTAGTCACACTCGCTGCTGGTGTGCAAGTGCCGTGCGACTCGGCGTTGCAGCCGTCGCAGCAGGTCATCTCGGGCTCAATCGACTCGGCTGCGAGCATGGCTGTCATTGATTGCGACAAGGATGTGCCGCCGCCGCCTGGCCCGCTCGGTGCCGGGCTCGATTTCAACGACGTTGTCGTCGCGGGCTACGACTCGTGGCAAGTCGAGTGGATCCAGAACACAGGCGTCGGACTCGGCTGGGTCAAGAGGCCCAACTCGAAGATTGCCGACATGAGGAATGCTCGCTTCGTGTACGCCATCGCCACCTCGACCCTCAGCGCAGTGCCAAGTCTGGTGGCGTGCAACGGGTACCTTGGCGAGCAAGTTGGCGACTTTGCCCACTGGTGCTCGCACTTTGTCGGCGACAACAGCGGCAACTTTGCCGAGACGGTCTTTGCGTCGAACATGCGGCGACTGCTGCATGTCGACCACGCTGATGTGAGCGGCGACAGTTTCAGCGACGTGGTGACACTAGAAGGACCGTCACTCTCCCCGTATGGCACTAGTTTTCGGTTCACGGCCTTTACCGACAACGGCGCTGGCGGCTATAGCACGACTAAGAACGTGCTCGGCGATTCGGGATCGGTGCCGGGGCTTTTTGGCGCGACGACGTTTGCGCTTGGTGACGTGACCGGCGACTCACAGACTGACATTGTGTACGGCACGTATGGCGGCGCCAACTTGCTCGCGTACCTGCCATGGAGCTCATCGCTCACCTTTGGCGCACCAGTGCCGATCCTCGGCTCTGGCGTCGGACTCACACTCTCGGTGCAGGTTGGCGATTTCGACGGCGACGGAGATACCGATGTTGTTCATTGCAACGCGGCGAGCGAGCTGCGGTGGTTTGAGAACACCGCCGGCGACGGAACGACGTGGACGGCGCGGGCCTTCCCGTTCGAGCTCCCAGTCTCGTACATGTACGTCAACGACGTCGACAACGACGGCGACCTGGACCTGGTGCTGTCGTCGCAGAACGTGAACAATCTGTTCTGGGTGGCGAACCGGTACGACAGCGGGGGAGCAGGGCGGACCAAGGACGAGGCGTGGGGCGTGCTCCGCTCGATTGCGCTCTGCAACGGGTGCGGAACTGTGACAATGGGCGACCTCGATACCGATGGCGACGACGACATTGTGGCCGCGGCTTCGTTTGTCGACACGGTTTCCGGCTACCTTCTCAACCCGCTCGACCCGCTGCAGTACTCGTTTGTGGCGGCCGGGCTTGGGGCACCGGGCATGATCCGCCCGTTCGACGCCGACGGTGATGGCGACACCGACGTTGTGGCTGCGATTGGTTCGCCGGACAACGGCGTGTTTCTCTTCCAGAACAGCGACGGGCTTGGTGGCGCATGGGCAACGCCAACTCGTGTCGGCGGTCCCCTTTTCGAGCCTGAGACGGCGATCGCGGTCGACCTTGACCTGGATGGCGACGCCGATGTTGTTGCCTCGTCTGCTACCAACAGCACCCTGGTCTACGCCGTCAACAACGGCGGAATCTTTGAGATCAGCTCGTGGAGCGGTGAGATCTCGACGTCGACTGCCGCGTTGGTGGTCGCCGCAGTCGACGTCGAGATTGATGGCGACATGGACTTGGTCGGCATCGACGAGCCGGATGCCGTCTTTCTCGTCAAGAACATGTTTGTCGAGACGGGGACGCTCTCGTTTGGCCCTGTGACGACATTGTACTCCAACGCCGGAAGCGACCTGGTGTACATGCTGGTGCGCGATCTTAACGACGACGGCTACGGCGATGTGGTGTTCTCGGACACGGGGACTAGCTCGATCAAGTGGCTGGTCAATGACAACGGCGGGTACCCTTCTCCGCCGCTGACGCTGCGGACCAGTGCGCAACAGGTTGGCGAGTTTGTGCTTGGCGACCTCACTGGCGACGGGCTGCTCGACCTTGTGTTCCACACGCGCGGGACGCCAAATCCATTTGCGAGCAAGTACTCGCTGTCGCGGGCGAACAACGTCGGAAGCGCGTCGTCGCCGGTCTTCCTCACTCCCCAACCTGTTGACTCACAGATCTCACTGTTTGTCGAGTCGGACCAGACCAATGTTGGACTCACGATTGCTGACATCGACGGCGACAACGTGATGGACATTGTGGTGGAGGGCTCGTTTGCATCTGTCATTGTGTACTTTCCTGGTCCCACCTACGCGCCTCGCCCTGTGTCAGTGACTAACCCCGACGTGAGCATGCGGTTTGTGCTCAGCGACTTTAATCTCGACGGCGCGGTCGACTTTCTCATCGGCCTCTCCTCGCAGATTGGGTGGATTCCGGGCCTCTCGATCTTTTCGCCCGAGCTCCCACGACCTGGGGTGACACGAACGGTCCAGGTTGCAAAGTGCGGGTACACTATGTCGTGCGTGGCCGCGACACTGCTGGAGGCGTCGGGATGTGCGACAACGACGGTGGTGATGCCTACCGGTCTGTACCGCGGATGCTTCTCAGCGAAGCTGTTCCCGCTCTTCAAGTCTGTGACGATCCTCGGGATGGACTCAACGATTGACTGCAGCGCCGACGGCGGCGGTGGCCTGTTTGACATCCGCGAGGGTGCCGTGGTGTCACTGCAGGACCTGACGATCATTGGGGCGGTGTCTATCCCGTCGGACGCCGAGTCGGTGGCGGCCATTCGTGTGACCGGCACCGGCTCATCGCTAGCGCTGAGCGACGTGACGCTGCGTGGATGCTCGAATAGGCTGGCTGAAGACCGGACAGTGTTCCAGGTCAATGCCGGCATGGGCGGCGCGGTGCTTGTTGAGCTTGGGGCGTCGATCACCGCTCTGCGGACGGTGTTTGAGCAGAACGTGGCCGGTGACTCTGGCGGTGGGCTGGCGGTCATTGGATCGGCGTCGAGTGTGAGCCTGACAGACGTCACCTTTGATTCCAACACGGCGACGGGCTCGGGCGGCGGCTTGCTGATTCTTGGATCGGGCTCGGGGAGCGTTGCGGTGACGATGTCAGGCGTAACACTGACCAACAATGTGGCAAACGGCGGGACCGAGGGCTACGGCTCGGGCTCGGGCGGCGGCGCGCTGCTCATATCCGAGTCGACCACACTTGTGCTTGATGTCGACTGGAGTGGTGGATCGAGCACAATCTCGGGCAACTCGGCGAGCGGAGCTGGAGGCGGACTGGCGGTGGTCGGGCCAGCGGTGGATGTGACTGTTGACGCACCGGTTGTGGTGAGCGGCAATACCGGTGTGTGGGGTGGTGGCGTGACTGTGTTTGCGACAGTCGATGCGCTACCGAGCCCGGCGGCATCTTCCAGCCTGGCGGCGGCGCCGGCGGCGGGTGACGTGTCCGGAGCCGCGGTCTTTAACGGAGCGATGACAATGACCGACAACAGCGCGAGCTACGGCGGCTCGTTGGCACTTTGCGGAGTGCCTGTCAGCTTGAGCGCAGCCGCAAGCTCGAGCGTGAGCGGCAGCAGCGCGAGCCGCAGCGGCGGTGGCGTGTTTGTCTGCTTGCCAGCGGGCACGCTGCCACTTGCGGACGCGGACAACCCTCCGGCGGCGCGTTCGATTGAGGATATACCGTGGCTTGCACTTGGCGGCGGGGTGCTGCCGTCGGCGCTGTTCAGCGGGTCAGTTGCGAGTGGGTTTGGCCCCATTGTTGCTTCGCCGCCGCGGACACTGGCGTGGAGCGGGAGCGGGGCGCGGAGTCTCGGCCCGCTCGACCGCGCGACAGGCTTCAGCCTCGGTACCGAGGCCGCCGTCGGCCTTGCGGACGTGTTCGGACAGACGGTAATTGATGCCGGTATTCGCCTCTCGATGGGCGTGCCGTTGAGTGCCCCGGGCGGCGTGGTGCTTGCCGGCGGCGATCGGTCGCGGCTGATGGACGGGGCGGTAGTCTCGTTTGCAACGGTCAAGGCACTCGCGGTCGACAGCAACGCGCTGGACGGACTCAGCTCGGTGACGTACCCGCTCGAAGTGAGTGTGGCCAACGCACCGACCGTGGCAAAGGTGACGCTGACGGTGCAGATCCGGTCGTGCGGACTCGGCGAGGGCCTTGTCTCGCCTAGCGGGCTCCCGCTCGAGTGCACCGTGTGCTCGGAAGGCACGTTCTCGAATGCGGTATCGCTGGAGGCATGCGTGGCGTGTCCGGTGGGTGCGTTCAACCTCAAGAAGGGGGCAACGTCGTGCGAGTCATGTCCAGCGAACGCGTTCCGCGATGTCGAGAGCAACAACGCGACGTCTGCGGGGAGCACTGTGCCGTGCGTGTGCAAGGTAGGATTCTTTGCGCTAGGTGGGTTGACGAATGTGGCGTGTCGGGCGTGTCCCCAAGGTGCATTGTGTGCGGGTGGGACGGAGGCGCCCAGGGCGTTGCCAGGTTTCTACCCCGATGCGACTGGGACAACTTTCATGGAGTGCGCGAATCGGGACGCATGTCTCGCTGGCGGGCAGTGTGCGACAGGGTACGGCAAGCGCGGGTGCGCCGAGTGCGTGAGCGGGTACTTTAGGCTAGGCGAGCGATGCCTCAAGTGCGCCAATACGAGCGAGCTTGTGCTGCTGCTGATGGTTGTGGCGGCATTTGCGCTTGTGGCCTTGTTGGTGTATCTCAACACGCGGACGTCGCTGTCGTACAAGTTTGCAGCGGCAATGATTGGGCTCAACTCGCTGCAGATCACGGCTATCTACGCAAACCTATCGCTGGACTGGGGTAAGTTTGCTCAGACGTACTTTGGCATCATCTCGTTTGTCAACCTCAACTTTGACCTCGCGTCGCCCGAGTGCACGTCGTCGTCTATGGACGTGTACATGTTCAAGTGGTGGACAACGATGCTGCTGCCTGTCCTGTTCTTGGTGCCGTTTGGGGTTGTGGGCGGGGTGGCGGCAATGATCATCTCGATGCGGAACAAGAAGGCCGAGGCGCGGGCACTGGCGAATGAGAGCTGCGAAATGGACGAGGCGAGTGGGAGCGAGCCGCTGACGATTGGGGCGCTGAAGGATGCGATTGTGCGGTCGTACTACCAGCTGTTGGTGCTGCTGTACCTGCCACTTACATCGATGGCGCTGACGTACTTTGGGTGCCGCAAGGAGCGTGACGGGACGTGGGTCCTCGACACGGCGCCGTCGCGAACATGCTTCAACTCACCGTATTGGGCGGTCTTTCCTTTTGCAGTCGTCTTTTTCGTCATCTACTGCATGGCGATTCCGCTGGGAGTGTTCTGGCTCCTGCGGCGGAAGCACTCTGACGCCAGCGAGGGCGACGGAATGGGCCTGGTGGTCTTCCAGCTCCGGTACGGGTTCCTTGTGGGCCGGTTCCGCGACGAGCAGTACTACTTTGAGTGCAACATCATGCTACGCAAGTTTGCGGTTGTATTTGTGACGACGTTCTTCTTTGCGGCCGAGGCCAAGGCGAACGCGGCAGTGTTTGCGCTCGCCGGCTCGCTTGTCCAGCTTGTACTCACACAGCCGTACCTGGCCAAGTTCCACAATGTGCTCGCGGTGACATGCCTCACATCGTGTTTGGCAGTGCTGGAAGGAGGCACATTCCGCAACGGGACGATGCGTGCGCTGGTTGTTGTGACGGCGATCCTCATCAACATCCTCGCCATCTTTGTGGGCAACGCTATTGACCTCTGGCGGATCCGGGGCAAAGAGGCAAAGGCCGATGATGAGTTCTACACGACAGGTACGTTCCGCATGGCATCCGACGCCTCACTAGTCGACGACGTGGCACGGTCGCGCGAGGCCGAAGCGTCGATGGAGATGGACACGATGCTGTCGATCCAGGGCGGTGCGGGGAGCCTGCAGACGGTCGGGACTGGGCCAGTCGGATCGGCTCGCACGGATGACTTGCCGACAGCGACGTCGTCGGCCGGCGCGCAGAGCATGATGATGTCGTCGGACCTGTCGACAATGGGGTACTCGTCGATGATTGGGTCGCAGCAGCAGCCCGATTCGGTGATGCTCACGCCGCCGCCGCCGGTGCCGGCGCAGCCAGCCAGCTCGACGCAGCCGCGGCGTGTGTCGGCGGCGCCCATACCCGCGCCGCCGGTGCCGTCTGTGACGGCGGCGACGCCGATGCCGATGCCGGCAGCGGCAGCACCGGCCCGGCCGGCGAAGAAGCCACAGCTCCCGCCGGCGCGTCCGAGCCACAAGCCGCAGCTCCCGCCGAGCGAGGTGCCGGCGCCCGCGTCCGTACCCACGCCCGCGCCCACGCCCGCGCCCGCGCCCGCACCTCCACCGGTGCGGCCGGCGCGGCCGGCGCGGCCTGGCGCGGCGCCATCGCGGCCTGTCCGGCCGTCGCACATCAACGTTAACGTAGAGAAGGAGGAGTAACACTAGTTGCGGCCAGGGCGAACAAGCACAGCAGTAGTCCGACAGAGCAGGAGCCCATCCGCCCACCCATGTGACAACGATGCGCCAGCAGGAACGGCTGGCGATGAACGGACCGGCGGAGGCTGTGTTGGGCAAGGCCAGGGAAGGGAGGGGAGGAGAGGGTTGGAGGGCAGACTAGTAGTAGTTTTCATTGGTGTGGCTATCCGGATGCATCGTCTCCAAGGCCCTGTCGATGGCTAGCTTCCTCTCGGTGGTGTTCGAGTTGGTCAGTCGGCGGCGGGCGGCGGTCAGCGGCGAGCAGCCGGCGGTCGGCAGCGATGCTGTTGACGGGTTGGCGTCGGCTGATGTGCGTATCGGCGGGCAGGGAGTGGATGGTTATGTTTGCAGGGATAGTGAGTACGTGTGGTGTGAGTGTGGTGGTTATGGGTGAGAATGGTGGGGAGTGGGAGTCGGAGATGGGCCCGGGGAGGGGGGGTGAGCAGCTTCGAAGGGACACAGGGCCAACAACTTGGGCCTCGGGTGGCAGAACTCGGATTCTGGAAAACTGCAACTGTGGATTGGAGACTGTGCAAGGGGGTAGTGTGGGCGTGCAGTAGGGTAGTAGTGAAATCAGATTGGGCATATCTTGTAATGAGTGTAGTGGGGGCATGTGCGGGGTCGGGCGGTCGAGGACGTGCTCAACCGCCTAGGGCAAACAAGTCGACGCGGAAATGAGCCGAGGTCGATGGGTATGGACGACAGCGATATTTGTACTGGTAATAGTATGCGGCGGGTGATGACCTTGAGCGTGAACGCGGGTTGCGTAGCTGATGGTGGGTGGGAGCTAGGTGGTGATGAAGGTGGGCTGATCGGGCGAGCGGGCGGCGGCTGGCGGCTGGTGGTCGGCGAGGCCGGGGCAGCAGAGGGGGCTGGGTCGGGGCTGGATGGCTTGAGATTGCCGTTGGTTGGTAGATGGGCAGTATGGCATGTGATGGTTGGGGGGTGTGAGTGTCGGGGTCGGGGATGAGGATGTAGCAACTGGAGCGGGGAGAGGAGGAGGATGAGGAGGAAGAGGAAG